ATTTTTATTTATTTATAAAAAATAATTCCTTTGAAAACAATGTATCAGTTTGAAATCTAGCCAACTTCTATCTAAGGATCAAGGAACCGGCTTGTCTGCTTGACATCAACTCATCACACACACGAGAAAAGCAGTCAAGTGACCTGTTCTCAGCCAAGAAAAGTTCAATGATTAAATGCACAATCCTTAATAGATGTTAGATGCTAGTAGAATAGGCTTGATTTTTACAGGACACATTATAAAGTAACAGTCTGTAGGATTTGAAAAAAATAATTTGTCTGTTAACATTGCATAATCACGCCTACTCCTTCCCCTGTCAAATTTTGTTTGGCCCAAAGAATATGATTAGCAGCACCTCAAATATGGTGACACATTGTTACTACAAGCTTCTGTATTGTTGAGGGGCACAATAAGCCGGAGGTCATGTGTAGGTAGTTAACCAACAGGATCTTCAAATCCAGTAACAAGATTAATATAGGAATTCTGGAAACTGAAATATGTGTATCCAGGCCTGTCACATGAAGTTTGTCAGTGCTTACTCATAATGATAATAACTTGCTGATAAACCAGTGCTTGCACTTTTCCCTTTTCAGAGAACAACATCATTATGAAACTCCCTGCTTGTGCTGGGAAATGAACTGCTCCCATATCCTCTTTTCCTGCACCGCTGATGATTAAAAGGCTTGTTCTGTAACTCATTAACATATATGCACATGCACATGCAGGTTACTGGGAGCAGTGCTGGTTGTTAAACAGTCTGACAGCAGCAGGAAGGAAGTACCTACGATATCTCTCCTTCACACATTTGGGGTGAAGGAGTCTGTCGCTGAAGGAGCTGCTCAGTGTACTGATGGTGTCCTGCATAGGGTGGGAGACATTGTCCATCAGTGATGATAGCTTTGCTATTATCCTCCTCTCTCCCACCACCTGCACTGAGTCGAGGGAGCAACCCAGGACAGCTGGTCTTCTTAATCAGTTTGTCGAGTCTCTTCCTGTCGGCTGCTTAGATGCTGCTGCTCCAGCAGACCACTCCAAAGAAAATGGCTGATGCCATAACAGTATCAAAGAAGGACCTCAGGAGCTCTCCCTGTACTCCAAAAGGGGTATAACTTTGTAGAGATGATAAAGCAGTGTTAGAGTTTTGACATTTACTGTATATACAGCAATTGTGTGTGGCTCTTCTCACAGGGTAACTTGGTTTAGGCGAGAACTAACACATTTAAACATTTTGTTTTGAGCTTAATTTTTTCAGCTTTATATAGGTTCTTGTAGAGCCACAAGCCCACATGTGATTTCCTATATAGTACTACCCAACTTTGCCATATTTGCACTTATTAGGGTATGTGGAGAGTTCATTTTACTGCACTGGGGTCCCTCAGGGCTCCACTCTGGGTCCTTAACTTTTTTTTTCTCTACATTAGATTCTTGCAGTGTCATCACTTTCTTTTTTTCCTGCTATGTCCATGACATCTTTCTCACCTTTTACACTCAGGTTCAGGCATGCTTGAGTGTCTTCCTGACATCTCCAGTGAGATTTGTGCCCACTGTGTTAAACTCACTCAGCAGAAGCTGGCCGTTGTTTCTCTGGAAAATTTCCCCCTCTAAAATAGTCAATACACAACTTGGACAACTTGAATGCTAATAACCCCAGTACAGTGACACTCTAGTATTTTAAGATATAAATGTAAAACCACAGAGAGCCCTGGGCCTGTGGATGGAAATATCTCAGCTGAACATCTCTGCACCAAATCTGATTATTAGGCTAAAAGAAGGGCCTAGTAGAGACATTCTCTTACATATGACCCCCAGACATAAACATGGGCATTCAGAAATGCTCTCACACTCACTTACTTACTCCAAACCACTTGTGTTTGCAGAAATGATCCCAGATCTTGTTGGTATGGGCTGTGTGGCTAGGAGGGCCGGTGAAATGAGGCTCCATTTCTTGGCTCGTTGCCTCAGCATTACTACCAGCCCCGCCCTTCAGTCTGAGTCATAATGTACAGAGCATAATGCACAGACAAGCATGCAGGGACTCATGCACTGTGCAGCCCTATCTGTATCTGTGGCTCAATCATGAACTCTATCTCTTGTTGAGCTCATTTTAGAGTCATGCACAAGCACATTGCTGTATACTTTACCTTGTACTTCTCTAGCTCTCATGCACATGCACACGCACACACACACACACACACACACACACACACACACACACACACACACAAATGGAATATCTCAGTCTACATTTAAGAATGACCTCACCACTTGAGAGTCTTGTCTCAGGTTTCATACAGAGCAGATCGACCCCATAGTCCAACACACACATAACCACACATTTCTCAAATTCACACACGTATTGTGCACACAAATAGACTAAGATAGCATGCATTGGGAGAAATACTGATGAGGTAAAATGGGCGTGTTCAAGAGGCAGGATAAAAGAGTGCAAAAGCAAGTGAGGATACATGACCGTGTGCCAGTGGGGGCGGGAGGAGTGCAAGGCTGCGGGACCAAATTTGGAAAGTGAATCCATCACATCGAAGCAAAAGCAATTCTTTTAAAAACAGCCGACCTGCCAAGCTCACAGCTATACGGCCAAGTCGACTCATGTTTTTCTAAGATAATTTCACACAGGGGACCACTATGTCCTTTTAAGACATGCTGGAGGATAGCAAGGGCCGTTTACATTCCTGGTTCTTGGCCGGAATATGATCAGTGTCCTTTCCATTTGAAGAACCTACCGTATGAATAATTAGGTATGATTAAACTTAAGGTTGGACAAACACAGGACAAAATCTAGTTTCCATCCCACATGAATTTACAAGCTGATTGTTGAGAGAATCAAACCACAGCTTTCTCCAGCAATGTTTAAAAAGTCTAACCCTAACTGGACCCTAAAGTGTATTTAAAAGCTGATTAAATACTGACTTCTTTCAGAAAACATCCCTGAGTGTTTCCTTATGGCCTGGTTTATGGCTGGCCGCACCATATATCCTGAGTGACTGGGTGTTATTGGGTGGAATCCCACAGATGGTCAAGGTATCAACACACTATTTGCTGGAGAAATGTAGATATTCAACAGCTGTCTTTCTTTTTCTTATGCTATGGTTTGCTTTACGCTTACAAACTACAGCAAACTGACTTGTTCATTCTATCATGATCAACCTGTATCGGTGGATCTCACATATTTGCCAAAGATTTTACTTAATTTGGCTAGTTGAGCAGAAACTTGCTTTCAAGGTTCAGTTTGTAACATTTAGGAGGCTCTACTGGCAGAAATGGAATATGATATTTATAAGCATGTATAATCACCTGAAAATAACAACCATGTGCTTTTGTTACCTTAGAGTGTTTTTTATTTATCTACAGAGACCTCTTCTAAGGAGTTCGCTATGTTGAACTGCCATGTTTCTATAGCAGCCAAACACTGGCACTGTATAGGGGCTTTGTCATTTTTGTAAATAGATGTGTTTTGCAGCCACCGTAGTTTCTCCTACACACTTGGAAGGTGAGCTGTATTCAGTTGATTGCAATCTGCAACTTCTTATGCAGCTCTTCAAAACTTCAAATTAAAATGTATTGGATTGAACATTTGTCTGGTTCCAATTTAGAGCTGCAACTAATGATTACTTTCATTAGCAATAATTTGTTGTATAAAAGTTGCATGAAAAACAGCCATCACAATTTCCCAGTCTCAGATAGGGGTGTAAGAAAAAATATGAAATATATCGTACTGTGATATTTTGTCTTCGTGATCTTGTATCAATTCTCACTATCAATTTTTTTTAAAGATTTCAAACCCCTAACTGCTAGATAGCAGTGTTGTGAATGTTAGCTTAGAGCTATGGTGTTGGATGTTACAGGGACATTTTGCTCAGATTTAATGCATATAGTGAACAGTTTTCCTAAAATTAGATTAAAATAAATCCCAATATATCGCCTTGCTTACAATGTTGCAATGTACTGAATCGTAACCTCTGTATTGTTAAACGTATCGCGTTAGACGTAACAAAGAAAAGCAATATTTATATAGATATATTTGATAATCTGGAACCAGAGAATGTTTGGCATTTTTCCTTGATAAAAACATTTAATGGATTCAGTCAATTGTAAATGAATTTTATTTCTATCAATTACTTGATACTTACTACGCTTTAACACCATTAGTAACACTGATCCCTCTAGAAATATTATACTACACAAGTAGGGTTTAGCAATTGGGATTTTGGCAGCCAAAAAAATCTGCAATTATCAATATTTCTATATTAACAGCAGATCGGATGACTTTGTGCAATGTGAAAGGAAAAAGCTGAAAAGGTCGAGCAGATGAGCTGCTAGGCCTGATCACTGTAAAGATAAAGCCACCAGCTACCTACCCAGCACCAAACAGCAGACAGACAAAGTTATCAGCTAGCTGGTCAACGTTGGGAAGCATATAACAGCTGAAGAGATGTTAGTGAAGATCTATTGTAAGAAATAGAATATAATATTCATAGGTATGTTTTGTATTAGTGTATAATCACCTGAATATAGGAATTGTTGTGTTTTCCTTAGAATGAACCGTTTTTATCTACAGAGGGAGTGGGTCATTTTCTACAGAGTCCATCATGTTGAACCACCATTTTTCTACAGTAGCCTAGAATGGACAAACCAAACACTGGCTCTAGATAGGGCCTTTTGTGATTTTCATGACTTTCGTACTCACTGTAGTTTGTCCTCCACACTTCACAACCAGTTTTCATTGCCAGGTCTTCAAATAGATGCGATGAGTGGTCAGTTAGTTGCAATCTGCAACTTCACCGCTAGATGCTACTCAATCCTACACACTGGTCCATTAGATACCTCTGAGATTCTAATTCTATTACGTACGTTAAAAGCCTCTCAAATAGCATTTAAACCACAATTTTGTTAAAACCACCGTTTAGTGCCACTCACTCATACCACCTTGTATTGGCCTTGTACATTGGGAGATTTATATCCACTTCTTTGTCCCTCCACAGTGAAGTATATCCGTGAGGTTTCCCCTCTCTTTAAGAAGCCATCCCTGGTGGCTGACCTGCCGTGGGACGGCATCCGCCCACAGTCACCCAGCTACAGCGGCAGCGAGGACTCTGGGTCGCCCAAACACAGCAGCTCCTCTTCCTCCAAAGACAGAAAGGTCATAAGCCTGAAGATGTGCTTCATCAGCAGGAACCTCACCATGCCAGATCTGGAGAACCGGTACGATATGAGGCTCCTCAATGTTTGTATGTTTATAAGAGAGGAATAGCAGTATGTGGGAGTTTAGGTGTGGTTGGTTAGTGGAGTGTGTGTGTATGTTTTTTTCCCCCTGTGTTCAACTTCTGTTCATTAGATTGGAATGTTTGTTCTGTAAGAGATAATGATTATGACAAAAATGCTCTTTGTTTTTTGTAAATATGAAATAGTCATTGCTGGTCATCCAAAAAAAAGAAAAATAGCCAACGAGATAAAGGACATATAACTTTTAATTAAATCACCATTGTAACCAGTGCTTCTAGGGTTGGGTGATCCTGACAAAAAAGAATGTCTCCATTTTGAAATGTCCTGTAGACTATAGCCAGACTTGAAATAACCCAGGAATTTCCCCATTTGCACCATTAAAACACAATATTGTATTAAAGGTACTTTAAAACCTGAAGTTTTAAAACCTTAAAAACAGAAGCCAAACAATATTTAATCTACAACTCAATAAGGCACAATACATCACCCAAAGGACTCTATTGGTTTGTTCATGGTTAGTGCAGATCCAAGTCAATTCAATTCAATTCAATTGTATTTGTATAGTGCCAATTCATAACAGAAGTTATCTCAGTACACTTTTCAAATAGAGCAGGTCTAGACCGAACTCTTTAAAACATTTACAGAGACCCTTCAGTACCACCATGAGCAAGCACTAGGCGACAAGGGCAAGGAAAAAACTGCCTGTTAAAAGGCAGAAACCTAGGACAGATCCTTCGGCTCTAGGTGGGTGGTCGTCTGCCTCGACCAGTTGGGGTGAAAGAGAGAGAGAGACAGAGAGAGAGACAGACAGACAGGTGCACAGCAACAACAGTATTGGCAATGGCAATCTAGCAGGACCATGGAAGGAGGCTCCACCAGGATCGATAAGAACCTGCGAGACGAGAAAGCACAAGAACTCCGGGGAAGAAGTGAAGTTAGTAACATGCATTAATGGGACATGAATGAGTGCAGAAAGAGAGAGGAAGGGAGGAGCTCAGTGCACCATGGGAAATCTCCCGATAGTCTAGGCCTATAGCAGCATAACTAAGGGATGGTTCAGGACTCACCTGATCCAGCCCTAACTATAAGCTTTATCAAAAAGGAACGTCTTAAGCCTACTCTTGAATGTGGAGAGGGTGTCTGCCTCCCGAACCACAACTGGAAGCTGGTTCCACAGGAGAGGAGCTTGGTAACTGAAGGCTCTGGCTCCTGTTCTACTTTTAGAGACTATAGGAACCACAAGTAGCCCAGCATTCAGAGAACGTAGTGTTCTAGTGGGGTAATAGGGTACTATGAGCTCTTTAAGATATGAAGGGGTCTGACCATGAAGAGCTTTATAGGTGAGGAGGAGGATTTTAAATTCTATTCTACATTTTACAGGGAGCCAGTGCAGAGAAGCTAGTACAGGAGAGATGTGATCTCTTTTTCTAGTTCCTGTCAGTACTCGTGCTGCAGCGTTCTGAATTAATTGGAGCGTTTTAATGGACTTATTGGGGCAACCTGATAATAAAGAGTTGCAGTAATCCAGCCTTGAAGTAACAAATGCATGGATTAGTTTTTCTGCATCTGTCTGTGATAGTATGTGTCTAATTTTTGTAATATTATGTAAATGAAAGAAGGTAGTCCTAGAGGTCTGCTTCATGTGGGAGTTAAAAGACAAATCCTGATCAAAGATAACTCCAAGATTCCTGACAGTGGTGCTAGAGGCCAAGGTTATGCCATCTAGAGTAACTATATCTTTAGACAGTGTGTCTCTAAGGTTTTTGGGGCCAAGAACAGTTTAACATCAGAAAATTGCAGCTCATCCAGGATTTTATGTCCTTAAGACATGTTTGTAATTTAGATAATTGATTAATTTCATTGGGCTTGATCGATAGATATAACTGCGTATCATCTGCATAACAGGGAAAGTTAATGGAGTGATTCCTAATAATGTTGCCTAAAGGGAGCATATATAAAGTAAATAGTATTGGTCCAAGTACAGAACCTTGTGGAACTCCATGACTAACTGTAGTATTTTTTGAAGATTGATCGTTAACATGTACAAACTGCGAACGATCTGATAAATATGACTTGAACCAGCTTAGTGCGGTTCCACTATTCAATGAGGTTTTATGATGTTTGGAAACAGAAGTAAGCAGACATTAAATAACACGATCTCTACGATTTGCCTGAAAAGTAAATTGTAGGGCTGTGTATTAGCAAGAAATTGCAACAACAGGTGGGTTGCCTAGTAATTGAGCAGTAGCAGTATGTCAAGCCATATTATGTTTCTGATTGACACATGTAGCGTGAACACAGACGGTTTGACTTTGGAGCTTTTGGGGTTTTCTCAGGTTAATTTAAAAACGTACATGAAAGCACTGACTGTCAGTATTCGTTCATGACAAATGACATTTGACAAAAAAATGACGAACAATTGTGCATGTTCTTGTCGATGTCATAAAACAGTGGAGTCATACTACTGGATTCAGCACAACTTACTCTTTCCACTGGTAGCAGTGTATCTGATATCCATTGGATCATATGAACAAGATTATCCTTTTAACATAGCATCTTGTCTTTTAGTCATGATGTTTAGATGTTTATATAATATATATCAGTCTATCAGTCTTAAAAATGTTCCACCGCCATATCAGTCCACCGTGGTGATTGTGATTAGCCCTTTTCCTTGATATGTTTTGTGATAGTTTGATTAGTCCCTGTATATTGCTGCTGATACGGTTTCTTACATTTCCTTTGTCCCTTACAGACTTTTGGAGCTCCATTCCCCAGACGGCCAGCACACGGTGGTGCTGCGCTGTAAAGACGGTCCCTCTGCCAACTCCTGGTTCACCGCCATTCACACTAACATTGCTGCCCTGCTGCCGCAGACCCTGGCTCACATCAATGCTTACCTGGGGGCCTCGTCCTCTGTGTCCACACACCCCCATCTCAAACACATTGGCTGGTTGGCTGAGCAGGTAATTTCAGCTTTGTTATGTTGAACAGCTGCATGTTATTTTACACAGGTGATAAGCTGTTCCCGTTGCTCAGGGCTTATTGCTAATTGCTGTTGCTGATCTTTAAATATTAGATTCTATGTAGCACAGAACGGGATTAAGATAAGAATAACACAAATGGAGGATCTTGAAACACTCATAACAACAACAACACATAATAATATGAATAAAATAAATAATAAACACATATAATATAAATAAATAATACAGCAATAATACACCTGTAAAACTATTTGTTCAAAGAACAAAAACAAATAAGCAATGACACTTATCTATATACATTGGTACAGGTCTAGCACAAGCTTAGCCTAGCTTAGAACAACAGTGGAAGCATGGGAAAACTGTTGCTCTGTCGACAAAGATATAAAGATGCTTTGGGTTGGAAGCTTTAATTGATTGTTGAGTCTCATTCCCGGCATCTGTATGGTAACTAGCAAATGGACTGTACTGCTCCTTTCTAGTCTTTCAACCACTCAATGTGCTGTACACTACATGCCACACTCATCCCATTCACACACATCCATACACTGATGGCAGTGGCTGCCATGCAAGGTGCCAACTGTTCACCTGAACGGAAACTAATTATTCATCAATTTGGGGTTCAGTGTCTTGCAATTTGGGGCGTTTTTTGCCCGTTTCGTGGCCACCGTAGTTTCTCCAACATGCTTGGAAGGGGAGTGTGAAGCGAGGGGGTTGCAATCAACTACACCACTAGATGCCACTAAATCCCACACACTAGTCCTTTAACACACAGTTGTGAAAGTGATATCAATCTTCAGGCTTCACCCAGCTTGCTCACAAAATACTGTAGCTCCTACACAAAGATGTTCTTAAAACCACATTTACATTCTATCTATTCTATTTCTATTTCTGCACTTTAGTAAGGAAGATGTGTCGTTATATCTTTATTGGGTGTGGGATGATCTTAACATTATTTACCAACAATATTTTAAAGGAATGTTTCACATCAATATCAAGGTAATGTCATACATCCATGAACATTTGGCCAGGGTAATCACACTGTAGTTTTTTACTACATGCTTAGATGGTTGCTCAAAAGGAAATGGTATCAGTGGTTTTTGAGCTTGCTATAGTACCTGTTTCATTACTCTTACGTCACTGCACATACCCAGACCTCAGACATACACTGGCATTTCTGCTCTAACGTAATAACTGCAGCAGCACACAGGAAGAGTGTGTTGTCTTGAATTAGCTTCAGTCCTAAAATGAAACATGTCCACTGAAAAGTGAGGCCTACTCTCAGTTCACATCCAGGAACAAGACTCTTACTCTGAATGATATCTTTTATGAAGTGATCATTCAAGGTCATGTTGAATGTATGGATGTCTGGTTCTGTTTATCTTGACCCGGCTCAAACAGGAACACTAATGGAACTTTCCATTGCATTGCACTATTTCCTGCAGAGCCCACCTACTCACCACAGTTGCACTCACAAGCACACTGTCACTGCTTTTCACTGTAATTCCGCCAACACTCACTCACAGTCACTCCATGACTCAGAGAAACACACACCACCCTACTTTTACCACAATGTTATCAAAATCCAGGTCAGACTGTCTTTGAGCTTAACTCATCTATACCTGTACACTGTTAAAGTACCTCACTATAACTTTACCTCATCACCAAAGTCAGCAAAGTAAGGGTTGGGCGATATGTTAACATGTTCCAACTGGCCACTGTCAGTCAAACCCACCCCGGTTTTAGCTGGGAAATGAGTTTGCTACATGCATCAAGGTCTCAAAGCTTTAATGAAGGAAATAAACTCATCACATGTCAAGACAGGAAAAGAAAAACCTCCTCATTGCACAGAAATGTTCAGTTTCAGTTTCTCTTTTATACTGAACTAAGACCTTGGGGTGCCCGGTTAGCTCAGTTGGTAGAGCTGGCGACCCATATACGGAGTTGCTGCAGCGGCCCGGGTTCGAATCCGACCCGTGGCCCTTTGCTGCATGTCATCCCCTCTCTCTCTACCCACCCTTCCTGTCTATCTACAGCTATTACTATCAAATCAAAAAATTACTTTAAAAAAAAGAAACTCCACAGAAACAAAATAAAACTCACCAAACCGTCTCAATTAGTCTTTCCCCTGTTCCCATAATCACCAACTCTTGTGTCTAACCATCTAACAGAGTTAGACCTGAAAATATTCTGGCTCTAAGCGCTGTGACTGCCTCTCTGATGCCCCATCTCCCTCACTCCTCTACCTGCCTAATCCCTCCCCTCTCCTGGCCTGTCCCCATCTTCCCTGGAGTTAAAAGTCTTGTTTGGGGCCTCACCTTGTAACTGTATTCCCTGTTGTCATACTAGTGGAAATAAACCCTTAATTCACTGCAGTTAGATGTGAAAATACACTGACTCTACAGCTCTTTTTCCTATGGTTCTTTGGCTCAGTGTGTATGTACTGTGCCTTACTGTATTGCTGTTTTTAAATAGCTGATTTGCAGTAAAACCAATAGTAGAAGTAATGGAAGAAGAATTGTAAATTACTGGACAAAACATGGAGTAAAAATGCAGTTTGTACTGACTTTAGATCCAGCTGGAAGGTGGACGGCAGCAGTACAAGCCGGTGGTCATGGCACTGACTGAGAAGGACATCCTGCTGTTTGAATCGGTTCCGTGGAGCAGAGAGTCCTGGTCCGTGCCTCTGCTCACACACCCACTGCTAGCCACAAGGTAAGGACTACAGACAGCAGGGTGAGTCAGCTAAAGCCTAACGCTGCCAGAATGTTCAAATCTTACCTGACTGGTCTGCTTTCCACCCCTCAGGAAACCTTTTGAAGTGGGTTCATCACTTCTTATTTCATGATACAGATGTATATATTTATGTTAAAATGCGTTTGGATGAAACATTATTGCAAGTCCACTGTTGATTCTATTCAAGGTATCAGTGAATATTCAACAGAATATCAGCTGACTGTCAAAATGAGCTGTTTCAGCAGGCTGTTAGTTCAGTACTTTCCATTTACCACGGACATATGTTGTGAGTAATTTACGGTAAATACCTGGAAATTTACAGTTTCTCACTTTAAAATGAAAGTGAAAATGGTCAGTAGTAACCTGTTCAGTGTAGGAGGAGAGCGGTTTCACAGTGCACAGTGGCTTTAGCTGGGAAACCCCACATTTGGAGGGGAAAAAAAGAACAACACAACACCCAGTTAATCCTATTAAGGAAATGACACTAACTAGATCAAACAGTGTTGGGGGTCAGTCTCTTCAGAGACCAGGACCCATTGCCAAATTTAATAAACAGCTTAAGAGGAGCAAAGCAATTACATTAAGTCATGCAGAATATTGATGTGAGTTGTCTCTGAGAAATGTGTCTCTCTCTTCAGGCTGGTTCATTCTGGCAACGCCCGGGGTTCTCCTGCCCAGGGTTCAGACCTGGTGTTTGCCACTCGGACAGGCACGGGGCGGGGTATCGAGTCCCACGTCTTCCGAGTGGAGACCCACTGGGATCTGTCTTCATGGACGCGAGCCCTCGTGCAAGGGGCACACGCTGCGGCCGAGCTGATCAAAGAGGTCTCCATTGGTGAGTGTGAGCATGTGGACAATAGGTGATCAGATATCAGAGTGGGAAGTCAGCACCAGAATTACCTGTGGCCTTCTCAAGTAGTCTTAAGGCTAAAAAATGCTTCAAGGCAAATATGTACAGGGATTGTTTAGAAACATTTAGATGCATGTACGTATGTGTACAACTTATATAACATTGTATAACAGGTGTTCAAACCTGCCTCCAAACAAAAGTTGCAACAACTAAAGACATTGAGTGGTGGAATGTAGCTATATACAGATACTCATGTATTGTACTGCACTAATTTTTGAGGTGCTTGTACAGTTGAGTATTTTAATTTCATACTAGTTTATGCATCTACTCCAGTACATTGTAGAAGGAAATATTCTATTTACTCAACTAAATGTCTCTGACTACTATAGATAGATAGATAGATAGATAGATAGATAGATAGATAGATAGATACTTTATTTATCCCGAGGGAAATTCTAGATTACTATACTTTAGTATACAATAATTTACTTTATACTTAGTTACTATACTTACAGTTCTAAAAAAGGTGAGGTGTCACCCTGTATCTGAAATGATTGATCAAAGCTCCCAGTGTGGCGATGAGATTTTATTGAATAACAACCAACCCACTGGCCACAGAGAATTATCACCACCCCTGCAGGTACCCACAACATCTTTTACCATCTTTCAGCTCATTGTTTTGGTTTTCTAGCCCGTAACTTTACTGTTTTGGTTTGAGTATCGAGGTCCCTCAATCTCAGTCGCGAGCAGGGCTCAGCTGTCAATCATGACATGAACCCACCTTTTTACAGCTTCAAATAACAAATTAAAACCAGACTGATCAGAAAAAATGAACCCTGGAAAATACAGCAGAAACCATCTTTGGGAAATATTTATTTGACGTGGACATAGAGGGTGCGACCGACTGATTGACTTCACTTTTAGGGAGCTGTCATGTCCTCCGTCTTTATATATTCGGTGGTGTAAATAGTGTTTGCTGTCTGCTGGTTTGATGTCAGTGTAAAAAAATCTGTTAATTCAGGTTTAAGTAAAGAATCTTAATACTTATTCCACCACTGCTGACATCTAACCAGAAGTTTAAGCCACTATTGAACCAATAAACCCAGTATCTTTAACTGGTCGCACTGTAATAAGACAGAAAAAAAGGTGTCAGACGTAAGCCAAAACGATAAAGGAAATTCATGCACTGAGGTATAAAAAGATATCTAGACTATTGTTAAAAATATCGACTTTAATCTGATCATACTCCTGATATAGATTCAAGGTCATCCCTAGCATTGATGGGGGTTTTTGTCTACAGGAAACCGTTCTTTATCAAGTGCAATACATCACTGCACTACACACTGCAACCTCAGATAACACCACAGAGTCGGATGAGCACCGTGGCCATGTATGGTTCATGTACACATCATTTGGTTGAATGTGTGTGTATGCTTCTTTTTTTCATAGAGTGTGGTTTGTGTCAGTACACACAGGTTAGCAGCAACAGTGTGGGAGAGTGAGTAAGCAGACCTTTAATCAGAGGAAGTGGGTTCACCTTTGTGCATGGAATCAAGTAGAAGTTAGTTTTCTAGATAAAACATTTGATACTTTTTTCCATGTAAACACAGATAAGAATATTCTTCTGTGTATAGACTTTTACTTCGACTGTAACAGGAAGCCTCTGACGGCAACTGGCTCACTAGCAGTGGGCAGCAGCTCAGAAAGAGCAGCTCTGTAGAGGAAAAGCAGAAGAGGGAGCCAGCAGAGGGGAATGTTTTCACTCTGTGCAGAACAATACTTGGCTGCCGGAACAGCACTGGAAAAGCCTCAACCTTTTTTTTAATTTTCTTCTACCAGGTCCTGCTGCTAAACAAACGCACAGTTGTGCAGTAACATTCAAGCCAGTTGAGTTACAGTAATACACAATGCTTCGGATAATATGACCTAACAGTTACATAAAAGATACCCTGCAGCAGAGAGCAACATCCCATCCTGTTCAATTCAGATTAACCTTTTATGAGTTAGTTATTATTTAGAAGACGGTTTGCTGGAAGTAAACACAATCCCTATCAGACATTAAGTGGAAAAAATGTAGTCTGCTGTCAATTCATGATATGACTTCAGGCTTATTTAAAGCCTCCCTCCAGTCCGAAGTCTGTATTCCTTCTTGTCCCTACAGTGTGCTGTTTGAATGCTGTCTGTGCAGAGTTTGACACTAAAATATTTTACATTCATTAGTGTGAAAGTTTCTCTGTGTCCATTGCAGATTTTAAGGATGATTTGTGACATCACAAATAGTTAAAGTCTGAGAAATGAACATTACAGTGTGTTTAATTTGTTCCAGAGGAAAACTTAGAAATTATACAATTATACTTTTTATGCGGAAAAAACACATCAGACACACATTATTGTTCCAAGCAGACTATTTGTATATATGTCTTAATACATGTCTGGAGGGGCTCTTTAAGTTTGTCTTTTGCTGATGTGTTTTTAACGTGTAGTACACATATTACTCCACACACCTGGAGTCACCCACTGGGACATTTCTCATCCACACACTCGTTATTCTTAAGCTTGTTTCTCTCTCCTCCCCTCTCCAAGGTTGCACGTTGAACAGGCAGGATGTTCGCCTGACGCTGCACTACGAGAAGGGCTTCACTGTGACGAGGGAGCCGGCAGATCCAGCTGGGGGCGCCGTGCTGTTCAGATACCCCTACGAGAAGCTCAAAATGTCAGCCGACGACGGAATACGCAACCTTTACCTTGACTTTGGGGGTCCAGAGGGAGAAATGGTAAGTTAAGACTCCTGCTAGAAAGAAATTGGATTAGTCCTTTATGTGACACAGAGTCGCGGAGCAGAAGGGACTTGTAGCGATCTTTTCAGCATCGAGTAGGCAAAGTTACAGTTAGAGGAAAACTGAAGTAAACTCTAGTCAGTTCAGCAGGAGACCAAAGCTCTGCTCCACTGCAGCAGGAAAATTGGCTGCAGTGAAAACAGCCAAGAGCTAACACAGAGTATCCCATGAAAGCTGAGCAGCTACCCGTCATGAACCTGAGACACTTCATCATGAACCCTGCATCATTAAAAACTGAAATTCAATGTGTCAATACGATATGACAGTTTATGAGCAAGTGCTGCCCTGTACTGTCAAGAAACCCCATAGAAAATGTCCTGGAAAATGATTTCTTAAAGAGTGGGAACCTTGAACAAGTTACAAGCTATGTCAGAGTGACTGAACAACAGCACATCTCAGTTATTAAGGTACACGATTTTCTAATCTCTGTTGAGTCACAACAGCTTGATTGCAGTAAAAGGAACCACAGACACTAAATAACCACAAATTGACTTTGAAACCTTTTGTCCAAGCATGCTGACACCAGCAGACTATCAGGACCAATACCTCGCTGACGTGCAACTAATCATTTCCTTCACTGGCCTCATACACTGTGTCATCGCATTATCCTTAAAATGGTGGAGCTTTGCTACCACCTAAGCATAACCCTAGCATTTAGAAGAGCTGAAACAATTAATCCATTAATCTATTAGTCAATCAGCAGAAAATAACTAATTTTATAAATAATCGTTTCAGTGCTTTCTCTTGTAGCCTCTTACTTTCTCTTGTTCCAACTTTTTAAATTAAAGGCATTTCTCTGTTTTATCTCATTGTAGATTGAATATGAGTTGCTAGGACAAAAGAGCTTTTTTATTCATAAACTAAATAAATCTTTGATTAATAGAGAAAATAATGAGCAAATTACTCACTAATGAAACTTTGAAGCCCTAGATCTGAGTTGCTATGTGTAGAATTTGTATTGATTACAGCATCTTTCCAGTTATTGTCCATGTCAGTTGCTCTTACCCCCATTTGAGACACAATGGTCGAGAGGACTGTTACTCCATTTTCTCTGGAAAACTGCTAATAACTGCTGTTGCAATGAACACTACAGACTGGAATAAAAACAGCTGAAAGTATAATAAAGTGACTGTACATAATCTACTATTCAAGGTGAGGAGATTTCACATGAAAGCTAATATACTGTAAATTATCTGCATTATCTGCAAATGCAAGGGGGTTAAATATCAGTATAATTCAATTTTATTTGTATAGCGGCAATTCATAACAGAAGTTATCTCAGGACACTTTTCAAATAGAGCAGGTCTAAACCGAACTCCTTATAAAGTATTTATAAATTATAAAATTTAAATTATTTACAGAGACCCAACAGTTCCTCATCCTCATCTCTCTCTTCCTGTTCCATCTTCCCTGCTGTTTCTCCTTTCTTACCTCACTTCCTCCCTTCATCCTCCAGGTGTTTGACCTCCACTCGGGTCCAAAGCCGGTAGTGTTCGTGCTCCACTCCTTCCTGTCAGCCAAGCTCACTCGTATGGGCCTGCTGACGTGAAACAACTAGCAGCAGCAGCGCACGAGAGCACAACAAGGAGGGTGGAAGACGCTCCCAAAATGTCCATTCTGGGGGTTGATTTTTTTATTTTATTTTATTTTATTCTCCATTCACAGCTGAAGTTAGGCCTGAGGTGGCGCTGCAGGGGACATTTGAACCCAGGATTGTTGATTGTCTTAAAAATGTGCCTTCTCTTCCAACTTTCTCCTCAACCTCTTGCAGTCATTTGTATTGCAAGGTCAGGTAAAAGGAAGTGGCACTTTGCTTGAAGTCAAGCTGTACCATTTCATGTGATAATGTATTCAATTTGATTATGATTATCTGATACAGTGTAAAAACAAATTAAGATGCTGTGATGTGCTTATGAGATTCCATTACCAGTGCACTCCAAGCAAAGTGTTACTGATATATATTAAGGAACGGAAGGATTTTTTTAGACAATTAATACACCGCCAAGCACAGATCCGTAAATGCTCCCTGTTTTTACTCAATGCCTATCATTCCATGACAGCCTTCCAATGTATCTTTTTAATGTATTTGTCTGTGTTTGTGTGGACGTGTGAGTGAAAGGAGCTGTTTTAGAGTCAGAGTGCAGTCCACTGAGCAGAGATTGTATGTGTGTGTGTGTGTGTGTGTGTGTGTGTGTGTGTGTGTGTGTGTGTGTGTGTGTGTCTATACTACACGCTTCTGTTGGCTTTATAGTGTGCCTGCTGTCTGACAGACTCACCTTTTAGCACGTTATCCCAAACTACTGTTGTAATCAGGATCGCCAACTGTGCCTTTTTACATGTAGTCGAAGACACTCTTTGTAATGTTTCATTTTTTTAATTTCACACAATAAGAGAGTTTCAAGCTTTCGACGTGCGCGAGCAATAGTATTACTCTTATAGTGTAAACCATGTTACTTTGTTTTTATGTCGTCTGTTTTTATAAGTGTATATCTCATGATAGCATGACTCCCTGACATTGAACTCCGTATCAGATGATGACATGACCGTGTGTTACCCCTCCCCCCACTGACCTACACTACCACGTCGTCTCAATGTTGCTATCATCGCATTCCAATTTGCTTGAGATTATGTGTCTCTTGTTACCGTTCCTACAGCAGCATTTTTTGGGGGGGCTAAGGACTGTTTAACAGACTTGTTTCAAGGTGGGCCATCAAATGACAGAGGTACCAGTGTATTTTAATAATCTGGTAAAAGAGGACGTACCTCATATCCTGCAGTAGAGAAATTACTGCACACTTGTCTTACAGTTTATAACAGTCTTTTCTTGCCGCTTTAGTCTCAAAAAGCCTTCAAAAGTTTGAGAAAAGAATCGTCACTCAAGGTTCTCTTACTAGCTTTCTTTTGGAGCTTTCAGCCTCATCTTTGCTCAGTTGCCATGGAGATAGCTCAGCTGTCATCACGTGATCTTAAGTATGGAACTTAACTCGCATCACAATAGGTGTTCGTACAGTATATAATATTATATAGTATATCGTACAGTTATTGCTCTGAATAGTTTTTGGTCTGGGACTGTATTTTTTAAAAACCTTAAATAATCACACTTTACACACTAACTAACATAACTAAAAAGCCTGAGGAGTGAACACACTTGCTGAGTGTGAGAAATAATATTGCATTTATGTGAAATTATTAACATCTTCGGCAGCAATTAACAACAATTTTGAATATTTCTAATGAATTAAAAAGGATGAAATGACAGGAAATTGGCTGAAATGGAAATAAAAGAAAAACAAACTTGATCAGGAAAGGAATTCTTGTAGGTGAGATACATCAGAGAAAACAAAATAAAGAAAACTTAACACCACACAAAATAAATGCAAGCCGTATTCTTGTTGCAAGAAAAAATGCAAATGCCAATGTTAGGCTAAAAGTACCCTATTCTAAATAACACATTATTATTATTTTATTTTTTATTCATCATGACCAGTTATGTAACTCATTCCAAAACGTGTCTCAAAGGGTGTTTGCTCTGCTCTGTTTCTGTCCTGCAGCCGTCTAGGATCTGTTTTCTTGGTCTTTGGTGTCCATTTGATCCTTGCTGTTTAGCAACAATTTAGCTTGAGGTCACGTGATGAGAACTGAGCAAACTCCATACTATTCCCAAGTTCAAGGGTGAACTTTGGGGCTCCTAAGGAACTTTATTCAAACTAAAATCCCATTGCAGATGTTATGATATCTGTCCATAGTAAATACCATCACAACAGCCATTTGTTTTTCTATTTTACACTTCGCTTAAGGTACAAAACTATGGCAGCATATTGCTACCACACCACAAAAACAAACACAGATCAATATCATGTTATAACGTGAAAAGTTTATTGTTGATGTTTTTCACATTATTACGACATACAAGCTTATCACGTTATAACAAGAAACTCTTCTTGTTATAAAATTATACACTATTTATCTTATTAAAGGTATTTAATAAGATAGTGTATATTGTTAGAACAAGAAAAGTTTCTTGTTTTAACGTGATGTTTGTGTGTTGTGATAATGTGAAAATGTCTAGTTATAATGTGAACTTATATTGTTTATAATTTATAATGACACATTATATCAATGTTATAACAGTAAGTTATCATGTTATAACAAGATAAGTAGTATATTGTTATAACTAAAAAAAAGGTTATATATGTCGTGATAATGTGAAAATATCTACTTATAACGTGAAAAAGATCTTGTTATAACAATAAACCATTTCTTTTTCTGGTGTGGCAGCAATAATCTTCTGTACAAAACACCTAAATTGGGTCAGTTTTGGTTAAAATGGAGGTGAGTTGGAGTTAGCTAAACCAATTACAATTTCCCCTTCAGCTCATCTATTAAGTCTGGTGCCTGTGTTGAGACTTGACTCGTTAATGAGTTCAACCTGACTGTAAAGAACACATTTTCTAACCTTCAGCTGGTTCATGTTGCTAAAGTGACCCTTCAGTAGAGCCTCTGTGTTCTGCTGGGCCTCAGATAATGCAGCATTGTGTCCACTGACCGTGCACCATGCACAGGAAAACAAGATAACCCTTCTGTCCTCGGATAAGGAACACAATCACCAGTCTGAATGACCTCTATTCTGTTCTGGACTCTGATGTCCTTGTGATGAGTTTGAACAACCTTGTTTGGCTTTTTTATGAAAGCAGAATATTGTAGTTCCTGTAGCTATACAGCTCTTTTTCAGGCTGTAGTTAATGACTGTTAAAGGAGAAGCAGACTTTAAAACATCACCAGTATGTGGGAGGGTTGAGTTATACTTGCCCTGACGTAAAGTCCTGCTTCTGTGTCATTTGAAGCAATAGTGAAGCGTTGCACTCCTACTTTGTCACCACACTTTTCATTTGATATGAATCATGTTTCTGTAACCCACTGCACAGATCTGATTGTCTGAAGTTGGTCAACCTTCAACAAGCTACAGGCCGTCCCTCTTTGACCTCAATGCACTAACCTATCAAACCTTTACATCTGTGAATGTACACCTCTCTTCTTCCAGACGATTACATTTAATCTTCCTTTCTCTTTACGCTCTGAAATTGTGTCTATCCTGTCTATGCAAAGCGATGCTTCAAAGAAGGGGTTTTTGAACCAAAGGTAACATAATCTGTGGCAGCTTGCGTCCAACACAATCATTGAACTGAAAAGTCACAAGAGGAAAAAGTGCTGCTGCAATAACCTGTCATATGCAAAGTATTTTAGACTTCCTTCCAAGATACAGTATACAATGTATGATAGCAATGTAATAATCTCAAATGTAAATACCTACCAATAAAACTGTTACAAATGACAGATGTTTGTGTGTTCTTTGTTGTGAAGATGAAGATGTAGGTTTTCATTACATTACATTTTGTAATATAGGCCAGTCTTTCTTGTTTTAAAGGGGTGTAATAATTTTATTCACTTCTGTATAGAAAACTAAATTCAATTATTTTTTGAAGTTTAGATTATTATTTAAGATCTAAACTTTGAAGACCTTAACACACGCTATATTCACAGAGCCTTCACTCTGATAAACATATATACATATATGTATTTGTAGATATATATATCCAAATCACTGTTTTTACACAAACTTCCTGCAGTTATTGTGGTCACTGTTTGGGTTCATTGTACAGTTTATCAGTTGTTCTGTACTTTTGTTGTTATACATTGAATATAAAACATCCTTAAAAGATGTCATGTGTAAAAGTAAATAAACAATAACATAAAGTATGTCATATGTTAGTTTACTCAGTGATATAAATGGACTAGTTGGGAGCCACTGATACAGGCAATATTTAACTTCATTGTACATACAATATACAGTGCATGTGTATTTCCTGTCTTATTATGCGGTGCCACTGCTATGGCACTAGTTAGACCGCCAGGTGGCGGCAGCAGCAGTCTCTTCAGGCACTGCCACCGTTACCATTCGTCAAGTTGTCAGTATTAGTCATAGGACAGAATAAAACAATAAAAGTAATTCGCAGTTTTAATTTAGCCGAGATATTAGCTATAGCATGCTCTTGGCTGGGTTGGAGAATATGTGTCCACTGTAACTTTTAGGCCATATGTTTGCCCTTCGCTAATATTCTGAAAGTTTTAACCGGAAGTTCTGTCTGTATGTATCAGCTAGCTTGTCGGTATACGCAGTGTTGCTGTGGTTCCGTTGGGTCGAGGCAGAGCTGTCATATCTACTAGCTAACGCACTAGCCGCTGTTCTGACATGTCAAGAGCAACCTGTCCCCTCACAACATAGGGCTGCTAACGAGTTCATTTCTTCACGTATCCACCTCTGGGTAGGGTCAGAGGATAGAAACCTGGGCGGAGAGCAGAAGAGTGAGATGAAATGACAACGTCAACATTACAGGTAGGCTACTGTTTGCCAGCTAACGTTAGCATGCTAGCCCGTACAGCATCTTGAATGCGAGCTAACATGCTAGCAGAACAGCTGACGCTAGAGCCCGCTAACGTTGTTAGCAAGCCAGTTTAGTTAACTGAACACCCCTGCTGTCATTACATTGTCTTGGAAATATTTAACATTTAACTGCAACTAGCAACACAGTATACAAGCAGTGATATTATCTAACAACTGGCACATGAATATGCGGTTTGCTAACGTTGAACCTCTCCGGGAGGATGAGTGAGACAGGAGCAGCCGCTGTCTCACCGTCAGCTGGGCTGCGGCCGCTGCTCGCACACGGTTAACACGGAACAACGAAGACTGGCGTCATGGAACGTTGTAGTCTGGAGATTGGCTTCTAGAATGGCACAGTAGATTCAGTTGTAGAATCAGAGAAACGTGTTAGCTGTATAACTGTGCTTGGCTTTGATTGAAGCTCCAGTGTTGACATGTGCAGACTGATAGGAGTATGACTAGCAACATGTGTACATTCCCTGCCTCACTTCTGTGTCTCCACCCCCAATCTACCTCCCATCGTCATCTGTCCTCTGACTGTATTCCTCTGCATCTTTTGCAGAAAGCGATTGATCTTGTTACCAAAGCCACAGAGGAAGACAAGGCAAAGAATTATGAAGAGGCCTTGCGCCTGTACCAGCATGCTGTGGAATATTTCCTACATGCCATCAAATGTGAGTACTGCAACCCGGTTTAACACCCTTCTGTTGGTACAAACATCGGTGGGTTTCACTCACGTTGTCGTATGGAATTTCTTTCCTTCAGATGAGGCCCACAGCGACAAGGCAAAGGAGAGTATACGAGCAAAGTGCATGCAGTACCTGGACCGAGCGGAGAAACTTAAGGACTATCTGAAAAATAAAGACAAACAGGGCAAAAAGCCCGTCAAGGAGGCACAGAGCAATGACAAGTAGGCTGCCCATCTTCTGCCCTTTCAGAAAACATGTTCAAGTCTGTGGACTTTACTGTATTAGTGTTAACCTCTGTTTGTGTCTGACCTAGGAGTGATAGTGACAGCGAGGGTGAAAATCCAGAGAAGAAGAAACTGCAGGAGCAACTTATGGGTAAGTAAATGTGCATGAGGGGAATTAAGCTGGATTATGTGATGTTTTGATATTAAATCGACGTTGTCCACATTACAATTAGTGATAGGCCCATTATCTGCATTTTGAGATAATTGGCATTGGCTGTTGTCTGTGCTCACAAGGCCAATAAACGGAAATGTGTGCAGACAGATCTGCAGGTAGCGGTGTCAGTGTAGCTGCTGTGGAACAATGTTACCACTCCCTGTTGTGAGTTTTCAGGAGATGGTTAAAAAGCTCTCTCATGCATCCTGTTGTAAACATATGCCTGCATTTCCTATAGAATAGAATAAAATTATACATGACTTTTCTTTGTTTTGTTATTGACATTATATATATCAGGCATGGCAGCCTTGCTTGCTGTAGTAGTCTTGGTTCAGTGGAGTTATATTTGTACCAGGGCTACAGATGTACAATAACCTTTTAAAGGTACATTTCAGGGGTGCTGTTGTCGGTCTTAATCATGCTCTGCCTTTGTGTCCAGGTGCTATTGTAATGGAGAAACCCAATGTCAGGTGGAATGATGTGGCTGGACTAGAGGGAGCTAAGGAAGCTCTGAAGGAAGCCGTCATCCTGCCCATCAAGTTCCCCCACCTCTTCACAGGTACTGTGCGATCTACTTGTTACCCACCAATGATCCTACAGTGACATCAGAAAGGTAAGAAGATATAGCAGCGTGTGCAACACCCTCTGTTGATGATGTGTCCTTGAATACAATGGTTCCATTCAAAACTGGTGGAAACGTGGGCTGATTCACTTTATAGCACCAAGGTCTCACAAATCTTGAATGGAATCAGTTCATGAACCGGAGCTCATTTGGTGGAAAAACACGAGAATGGAGAGACACTGAAATGATTAAAGAGGTTCTTGTGACTGTTAGTTGGCACAGCAGTTCTCGTTATCACGTTAACCTCCATCCCTGTTTCAGTTATTGTTTATGCTAGAGCAGGCTGTTGAACAGTACTCTGGTCATTTTTTGTATCCCATCATGACCATCACTTCTACTCTCTGTGTTGTCAGGCAAGAGGACTCCGTGGAGAGGCATTCTGCTGTTCGGTCCCCCAGGCACGGGAAAGTCGTATCTGGCTAAGGCCGTAGCCACCGAGGCCAACAACTCCACTTTCTTCTCTGTCTCCTCCTCAGACCTAATGTCCAAGTGGCTGGGAGAGAGTGAGAAGTACGTCTCTTCCTGGGGTGGCTGCTCTCTGAAGCTGCACTCTAGACAGGAACAGTTTATTGTTGTAAAGAACTAAAGATGTTCATTTTATTAGGTGTTATCAGCCTAATTAGAATGTAAACCTGACTCTTAATCATATTATTATTTTTATATTATTGTATTATTGTTATAGAAACACTCTGACTTAGTTAATAATAGTCATAGAAAAATACATTTTACAGTATTTACACTTATTTCTCTTTTTAATATTTTAATCAAAAATAACATGAGTGAATCATAGAGACTAGAGGACGTATCATATTTTTGAAACCGCTCAAACACAGTGTAATGATGGACTGCAACAGACTGACGGCACTCTCAGTCTTGTTTGGAGTCACTAATAATATTGCGTCTCTCTCCATCTCACCCTGTGTCTCCCAGGCTGGTGAAGAACTTGTTTGACCTGGCTCGCCAGCACAAACCCTCGATCATCTTCATCGACGAGGTGGACTCGCTGTGTGGCTCCAGGAACGAGAACGAGAGTGAGGCTGCCCGCCGCATCAAGACAGAGTTCTTGGTCCAGATGCAGGGTGAGCCTAATGAGACAATCTGACTGACGCACACTGAATGCAGTGTCAGATCATGTATACTGTATGTACTGTACAAGTGACAGTAGAAAACTACAAAGTCATCGTAAATATGCAAATACATAACCCTGCATCAGAGTTGACCGCAGCTCTCTGGTTTTTGTAGGTGTGGGAAACAACAACGATGGTATCTTGGTGCTCGGGGCCACCAACATCCCATGGGTGCTAGACGCTGCCATCCGCAGAAGGTCAGAGGTCGCGTCAATACTCCACAGTTAAATTCATTAAAGACCATAATTCATTGGCAAGTAGTACTAGAGGGGAGTTCCAGTTGGGCAGTAAATCACCAATTTAACCTTTTTAACTCAAGTATATTTCAATAGACATGCAAAGACAACAACAGTGTCAGTGTCAGAACAGGACATATGACACACCTGCTGGGTCCTGTCAGTCCATGGGAGTTTTTAGTAGGAAGTAATAGAAGAAGTCTGAGCATAATTTTTCAAACTAACAATTCACATGGCATATACAGGTATCTGCAGGTCAATACATGTCCAAATGTCTAAATCCCATAAATCTAGCACTTTAAGGGGCCAGTGTGTAGGATTTGGTGGCATCTAGAGCTGTAGTTGCAAATTGCAACTCATTCATTTCACCCTCTCTTTCCAAGTGTAAGTCTGTTGTGAGTCAAGTCTATTGACATAAATGAACTATTCAATAACATTTATAGGTATGTTTTCATTAGTGTATAATGACCTGAAAATAAGAATTGATGTGTTTTCTGCCATGTTTAACCGCTATGTTCCTACTGTAGCCCAGGACGGACAAACCAAACACTGGCTCTAGATAGGGCTGTTTGCATTTTTTTGTGCATTTCGCAGCCACCGTAGTTTATTTCTCATGCTTGGAAAGGGAGGGTGAGGCAACTGAGCTGCGACTACACCGCTACATGCTACTAAACCTTACACACTGGAGCTTTAAGTGAGCCGGCTAATGTTAGCTGGGCTCTCTTTGGTCTGAAACTCAGCCTCAGGCAGCTTTCAGAAGCTCTTTAAAATTTGAAATGTGTCTGAAACCTGCAAGCACGGCGTTTATGTTAACTGTGTTCTAAACAGCTGATGAACGTGCTATTGAATGGAACTTGTCCTCTGTCGTGTGTCAGATTTGAGAAGCGTATCTACATCCCTCTGCCGGAGGAGCCAGCTCGGACTCAGATGTTTCGTCTTCATCTGGGCAACACGCCACACAGCCTGAGCGAGGCCGACCTGCGGCAGCTCTCCCGCAAAACAGACGGCTACTCCGGCGCAGACATCAGCATCATTGTCCGGGACGCTCTCATGCAGCCTGTTCGGAAGGTCCAGTCTGCCACGCACTTCAAAAAGGTGACACTAAACTCTACTGAAAACAGCATGTTAAATCTTTAATCCTGTTAATAATCTTCCCATTACTACTGAGCTTTATGGGGCGGCAGTAGCTCAGTGTGTAGGGACGTTGCAGCCCCATCACTCCACCATCTCTCTCCCTGTTTGCATGTCCACAAGTGCATGAAGTGTGTATTTCAGCCTGTGTGTGTGTGTGTGTGTGTGTGTGTGTGTGTGTGTGTGTGTGTGTGTGTGTGTGTGTGTGTGTGTGTGTGTGTGTGTGTGTGTGTGTGTGTGTGTGTGTGTGTGTGTGTGTGTGTGTGGGCTAAACAAAGAGTGAAAAGAACAATTTCCCCTCGGGGATTAATAAAGTATATCTTCTTCTTCTCTTCTTATTTCTTCGTACAGGTTCGCGGCCCATCCCGAAGCAACAACCAGGTGATGGTGGACGACCTCTTGACTCCTTGTTCCCCCGGTGACCCTGCAGCCATAGAGCTGACCTGGATGGATGTGCCTAGTGATAAGCTACTAGAGCCCATAGTTTGCATGGTGAGATACACACAACAATGCTGCAGCTCTTCACTTCAGATCACCATAGTAACTACTAGACAAGAAAATTCCACTAAACTGGACTAAAGCGCCATCATTTTTGAATGGAACACACTCCGTCCATAAACCTAATACTGTGACGTTGATATTTATGAGATAAAACTAAACTATTGATCTGTGTGGGGAAATTAGGTTTGAGAACAACATAACACAACAACATACACCAGATCACCAGACAATTCATTCACACAAAATTATATAAGTAAGTGTGGGACAAGCAACAACAACACACCATAACAGCTCAAATCATCTGTTTCTGCTGCTGAAGTTGGACCGGTGCAAATACAAATACAATTTATTTAAAGCTGCAGTAGGTTACTTTTATAAAAGTAACTTTTGTCATATTTCCGGCTCTGATTGGTTGTTTTCATTCAGGCCCGTTGGATTCTTTCTAAAGTCTAGCTTCAGAAAAAAGGAAAACTAGCATTTATTTTTATTTCAGTTAAGTAAAATGTTTTTCCATACTTTTTAGTTTAGTTTCCCACAGCGCCATTGTCAGTCCAAAAGCCTCTCAGCTGTACCCCTCAGTGTCTGTCAGATAGAATGGATCCTATTCCTACACATGATCCACAGTAACAGAGTTCAACCGGTGGCAGTCAGACAGGGCGTAAAGTGGATGGAGGAACTCAATGTGTGCTCTCCTGCTTCCTTTGCAGTCGGACATGCTGCGCTCTCTGTCCACCACCCGTCCCACAGTCAACACTGAAGATCTGCTGAAGGTCAAGAAGTTCACAGAGGACTTTGGGATGGAGGGCTGAGAGACAGAGCCCCACCTCTCCCCAGGGCCACCAGAAGGGTCAAACTGCTCCCATTAACCCCCCACCCCCTTTACCATCCTGTAGGCTTTCATCTCTCTGCTAAGTGCTTGGTTCACTGCCTCTCACAGATTTCAAAATACAATGACTGGTCTGTTCCAACAGAGAGAGAAATGTCGTATTTCTTACTTCTCATCATCCAGGCCAGTGTTTTTGAATCCTTAGAGGAAGTTGACCAAATGCTGCAATAGAAAACCTTGGTGTGATTTGGTAGTTGGACAATAGAGCCCACGTCTGTCCCCTCCCATTTCAGACACAGCTACAGCGTAATCACTACAAGAACTTCTCATCTAACCTGCATCGATGCGAGGAAAGCCGCATTTGAATCTAAACGCGTAGAGTCTGCCCCCCCTCGGAGCAGATTCTATCTGACTGAAGGACTGTACATTTTGTTGCCATTGTGCACTTTGCTTTGGATCGCAATGAAGGACAGCGACGTCTGAAGAAGAAACAAAAGAAGAAGATAGCTCTCCTGCCAGGCATGCAAGTGTGTGAATGCATCTCAGTGTTTTTATTGAACTTGTGTCTTAATGTGTTTGTCTATATGTCGAGAGCCCTGTTATGTTGTTATTTAATGGAAGGGTTGAATGAATCGATCCGGCCTGTACCTCAGCGCTAGCAGTGTGAGCGAGGCATTCATGTTCAACATTTACAATACGAGAGACGTGCTTGATTGAGTTTTTTAAAAATCCTCTAGTTGCTCTGTAACAACCACAGTGTTCATTTAGTAGCTGCTCTGGAGCTTTCGGTACATGTTCTTTCTCAGTAGATGGAGTGAGCCCACTTGTGGTATTGATTACATTTTTTTTTCTGTTAGGACTTCTCATCCATGTTGGCTTAAAAGCTAAGGTTCAAAGTTTGTATTTAGTAACTGTTCTGGAGCTTTTGATTATATCACACGATGTTCATAAGTGGGCTTTTAAGCCAGCATGGATGAGAAGTCCTAAGATGTTCAGGAAAAAAAGAGAAATCTACAATTCCATAGCAAACTCTTGATCACTCTCACTGTGTTGATGTAGATCGTGCAACATGAACAAAAGTTCCACAACAACTACTGAATAGACCTAGTGGTGAGATTGTGCTCATCCGACGTTTCCAATGTCAGGAATGAACTTTGAATTTTAAATCGGCTCAAATGAGAGCACTGAGCCGGACTGTCAGGACTTTTTGTTGGATTTGATTTTATTGATGTTTGTGTTGCAGTCTGTTCAGCGTTGAACCTCAGTTCTCAGCTCAATCAAGCGCATCTCTTTCAATCTGAACATTTAGATTTTGTTTAGTTTGCCCTGGCATACATTGTTCCGCAGTGTCACAGAACACTATTTATACCACATGTGTGATCACATGTAACTTGACTGACTAATAGAGATACAGTATGTTTACACTTGAAGTGTTTCCTTTGTTGATGTTTCATGACGGAGCTCCAGTCAAAGTCCTGTGTTTTTTCTTTTGGGAGGCAAATATACACACCAAGTTTTAATGTGAGACAGACACAACCATCCATTTCTTCCTCAAGCTCATAAAGCGTTTGTCCTGTTGTCAGTGAGCTGACGGTGAGGAGCTGGCCACGCTGGCTCTCAAGAAGCAGGGTCAGACAGTTTTAAATGGTCTTTTAAATCAAACTGCTATTGGATGTTTGTTCTGTACCAGCTCTCTGACCTCTCACTATCAGGACAACAGGCTTGTCTGGCGAACTCGGTGATGGGACTTCTTGTGATAGCTCAGTGCTGTGTGTTTGTGGAGGTACACAGTGGTCCAGTGGAAGGTCAAGTGATTAACGTCCCTGTAAGGGAACTTAACCTGCCGCTGGCCATGTAACCATTACTACTAATTTATCCTGCATTAATAAAAACTGACATTTCAAATGAAAAAAAGCCACAGTTGCTGGTTTGACATGTTTATTATGTTCAATAGCTGGGGCTTTAAACATGTGAAGAGGCTCTAAAGCAGCAGTCTCAGACTCTATCCCATCAGTCATGTTCTCTACCTGTTTACTGACCGCCTGAACACAAGTCTACCAGTTTACAGCACTTATCAGTTATTTACTAAAGAGGCCACTGTTCATGTACAGTACATTATGGGCATTCAAGATGAGGCTCTTCAAGAGAGCACTTTGGGAAATATGCTTATTCTATTCACTTTTTCACCCAAAGTTGGATCATCTAACCATTGACTAAATATAGTGGACAGAGCTTTGGGGTCTGTGAAGTGAAACCAATATAATGCATCTTAAACCTGCAGCCAGCAGGGCGCAGCTCCATAGGGTGAAAAAAAGAAGTTCGTTAGTATTGAGTCTTATGGGAAAATGAGCCTACTTCTCACTTGATTTATGAACTCAGTAAACAGTTTCCTAATGAGTTTCTGGTCTCAATCTCTAGTTTCAGTCTTCTTCCATACAGCATGATGATCATTCAGTAAATGATGGTCCCATTTAGAGTAAAATAGACGATAAAGCAGGGTATGCTTTAGGGCGGGGCTACCTTGTGATTGATTGAGATAGATATATCTATATCTATATGAGCAGCCATTGTTTGGTGTTACATACGAGTTGAAACTAAGCAAAGTACGTCACCGCTGTTACCTCTGAAAAACTGTCATGGTGACAGCCACAATGCCAAACTCGAGGCTTTAAAACGGTACTCCACAAACCAAGTGATAAAGTGAAAAAGTCTATTTCCCAAAATGTTGAACTATAACAACTAACTGGAAGCGAGTAGATTCTTGGGTTCAGTATTTTACCTCAAGGACACTTGGACAGGACACACAGCTGGTCAGCAACACATACTACTATTTTTCCACAAAATCTTTCAGGGAAGATTCTTCTACTTCAATCTTATTTTCTTTAATGCGGTTTAAAAAACTCCTAAGAGGTTCGTGTGCAGCGCTCAAGCAAGTCGGTCAAGTTCCTACTTGCCATGCCTTTTCACAGTTTTCATGTTAGGTTGAAACGGATCACAGAATAGCAGTTATAATAGCACATCTAAAATGTGACATGCTCGACACAATGGACACAGCCTTGGCATATTCATCAAGGCAGTTTCGTCCTCATTTCCTTCACCTTGGCAGCAATATGAATAATAACAAATACTAACAAGATTTCTACTGAGCCTATGAGCACAACACAGTCCTGCAAACCACTGCATCTATGTGTATAATGTGCAGTTACAGCCTTTTCAAAGTACCACATGCTCTCTGCAACATTATACTGAACGCTGCAGAGTTCTGTGTCAACAGTTCAACAAGGTTTTAATCTGTGCCACAGAGTTAAACAGAAACCGCGTGTGAACAGAAACCAACATCCATCCTTTCAATGCACATTTCTGAGAATGCCACCGCCACAGGCTCGTCTCTGACTTAAATGTCTCAACGCCATTTTCATCTTCATCACACTTTGCTCCGCTTCGAGTGGCTCTCCGCCGGAGGAGCGGCCCGCTTGTTACGATGGTGGGGGAAAGTTGGCATCAGCTCTGGCTCGCAGGCTGCACAGAGAAGCGGATGCAAAAGATTAATGACTTGCAGTACATCAGACGGCGGGGAGTACAGCTGATACATTGTACAAAATCACTTTACTCACGTAGAGGTTTCTCTTTGAAGTACGAACTCTCCAAACAGTCTTTGGCAGTAGCTCTGGGGCAGGAAAACAGACAAGAATCAGTCACTGATAGCTCTTAAGAACTGTAAAGATACAGTGGAGTCATAGTGTCTCACTCCCTCTGCCTGTGTTGCTATCGCAGTTACAATAATATGTGAGGTAAAATGACCATTTTTGTCTATGGAGTCTGGTGGAGAGTGATAGTGATATTACGGCTCTTTCTGGTTAAACAGAAGCTCTATCTCTGTAGGGATCCTTTCCATAATGTTGTCAGACACAATCTGTGCCTGAAAAACTTCAGTGGACAAAGTCAATTTTGTTCATGTTTTCTTTCTGTCCTATTGTTTTGGTCTGAGATGCTGCTGTTCTGCAAAATGCAGTGAATCTGGTATGTATAGCCTTTTTTGTGAATTTATGATAAATATAACGATACTGTTGAAGCCTTCAGATGTGGAACCCAGGGAAGATCTCTGACACGGTCAAATTAAGTGTGTGTTATTGTCAATCTAAGTGACTAGCAGTAGAATGTGGGACTTCAGAGACCCCTTGAGTTCCTCAGAGGAGCAGTTTGAGGTCACTGAAAGGATGACTCACCACCTGTTGTCACACACAAGAGAGTGTGTGAACCTCAGAAACACAACTAATCTCTCTCTAACTAAGAAATGCTTATTGATTGATCATTCCTCAATATTTATAATCAGGAATTTAATACATAGTGTGTGTCGGTGTATATAAAGTGTGACTTGTGCCATGGATCTATCTGAGTAATCATCCTGATTACACCCAGAAACAAACGACACATTATCTAACCATGTCGACCTGAGAACATCGCTGGTAGCTTCAACTATTTTCAGTCACAGGGAGGAGGCACACGATCTTGATTGCAACCTTGCAGTAACCATGGCAACGCCACCGGACTAGAGGAACGGAATTGCAGATCCTTCATACTTCTAGGAAACAGCTGGGTCATTCCATAGTAACAAGGAATGATGGTCTCCAGCGCAGCATCATCATGACATCAGCAGGCTTTTAAACAGCACTTTGAATGAATCCATATCACTGAGTGGGCAGTGAACTGCTAACTTCCTGATATGAAGAATCTAAATACTGTATCATGGGCATAATGGGCAGTGGAAAGTATCTTTACTCAAGTACTGAACCTAAAGCCTAACACCTGCACACAGGCACCTGTTTCCATAGGAGAAAGAGGCAGACACACGTACAGGTGTACATGATATGGCCTGAATCCCCTCACATAGTGTGTCTGTCTGTGTCTGTGCGTGTCTGTGCGTGTGTGTCTGTACCTGCGTTGTGGGTTGTACATGAAGAGCAGGTTGAGCAGCCTGTGTCCAGCATCAGACAGCCAGGTGAATTTATTCTTCAGGTTGTTGTACGGCTGCTTCCTCAGACTGTACTGACCGATGAGTGGCAGCTGAGAGAAACCCTGGGACACACACAGACACACACAAATCCAGTTTGGCATATTCCTCATCAGATATCACAGACAAGTTTATGCCGAAGAGAAGTCTCACCGGCCAGATGTTTTCGTTGGGTGTTCCCAGCAGCTGGACTATCAGGTCCACCTGCTGGATCTCAGAGGTTCCGGGCAGCAGAGGTTTGTGAGCCAGCAGCTCGGCCAGGATGCAGCCTACAGCCCTGTGCAGGGAAACATCACAGCAAGATCAGTGTTTGTGCCATCGTATCCCATTGGCTTCTTATGTTGTGTGAGAGGAACTCTGCAAAATCCCTGATTGTGATGAAGGATAAGAAAACTTGTGGATTAACCCATTAATGTCCACAGTGGAATTGTATCATTTCATTTACAGCATTCAAGTACTGGCTGAAACTTTTGCATTTTAAAAAACTGTGTCTACCAATTGAGGCAGAATAAATACACAGAATCAAAAAGTTGGATTTTGTCATGTGTAGCCATGTTTTGACAGTTTACACAGCAGATCTTGTGCTTCCACCTCTAACAGGAAACAACATATAAAACACAGTGGTCATTAATGGGTTCAGTGTGTGATTCAGATAAGCCTAGGTGTTGGTCCACTCAGTTCTAAGATGTGAATAGCGTGAAAAGTGGACTTGTATGTGTGAATAATGTATGTATGTTCTCATAATGCCAGAGGTTGAAGCCTCACCACATGTCCAGAGCTGTAGTCTGGGTCTTGGTCCCTAGAAGGAGCTCTGGAGCTCTGTACCTGCAGACAGAGTGGAGGGAGGAGCACATAGTGACAGAGACCTGACCGGCCCCGGGCAACGGAGCTAATAACAAGAGGATTACTGAGAGAGATTTAAAGGATCAGTTTCCACTGAGGCTGCACAAGCACAGCGTAAGCAGCACAAAAGGTCACACACACACACACACACACACACACACACACACCCCCCCACACACACACACACACACACACACACACACACACACACACACACACACACACACACACACACGGCTAAAGGGGCATTTACAGTGAACATGGCCGAGGCCCAGTAGGCACTCACCACAGTGTGACCACTCGAGGTGTCATGGGCTGCTGGGGGATGCCGTACATCCTGGCCAACCCAAAATCAGCTGTATGGCATTAAGAAACAAAAACCAGATCCATAATGATACCACCACTACTAATAATTCATGTGTACATACTAGAGCTGCAACTATCAATTACTTTCATTCTAAAGTTATCAATTCTTCATGTGTTAAAAAACATTACCATCAAAAATCTTCAAAGGCCAGGTGACAGAGGCTTTTCTCTTTTATTAGCTTTTCTAAAGCCTTAATCCACATGTCCTGGTCTTCATCAGCAGGTGTTTCCTTAGTTGATAAAGTCAGTAAAATGTGTTTAAAAGCTTTTGCCAAAATACTATTACTTGGCCAATACCATCTGCTGATGAAGACCATGAGATGTGGTTGAAAGCTCCAGAGAAACCTAGTTAGTAGACCTTGAGTTAAGATTTTTTGTCCAATGAAGAAATCTTGTCAGCACTCATGCATTTTTTGACACTTGACAAAGTGTAAAATATGACTAGAAAATGAGACATACAATGTATGAAACTAGAAAGTATTACAAAATATGAAAAGAAAATAGAAAGACATAACTGTAAAAACTAGATAAAGGATCCCATTAATACAAGTTTACATACACACACTAGAAAGGTTAATAAAATGTTGGTTTTGCCAGCCTACACTCAGGCATGGTGTTTTTAGTCCAAAACAACAGCTTTAAGAACAGCAACAAGGATTCTGCTGAAAATAGTGCCTGACAAATGCACCATTTTCTCTACATTAAACAACAGTGACCAGCTGTTTTAGGAAATCACTGAGCCTTTTTAAATGGAACTATATGATTGTGAGCTGTGGGAACTAATAGAGTGCTGTAGGAATCCTAAATGCTGAACTGAATTAGCATTTTTGCACTCAAATCCCTCACATCAATGTATTTTTGGTTAGATGCCTGAAATAAGGTCTGTGGTTTACACATTAAGAGACTTCACTGAAGAGAAGTGGCTAAACAAGATAACACAGGTTGTCGGTGACATTTAACATCAGCACGTCAAACACTTAAAAGTTTAGTGACACGGAAGTCATGCCACCTTGATGTAGTTCATTTATAGCCCAATGTTAACTTTTTACTTCAGTAATTGCATTTAAGCTTCAAAAATCTTGAAAGTGGTGTTCTTCTGTAAAGACTATCTTGCTAAACAAAGTATCAAACCTTTGTTCAACACAAAGCTTATTTTCTGCAATTTTCAGAATTAGCAATTTTCCCATTGGTGTTTTGTCCAACCAGGGCGTCACCAGGGTGATGCCAACTACCGAGATGATCCCTGCAGCACTCAATGGGCTTGTGGCTGCGTGTTTAGGGAGGAAAGAGTCTGAGCTTGTTGGGTTTGGTCATTTTATCAGCGTTTTCCTTGATAAAATCTGAATCAAGGGTCTAGAGAGAGAGTGTTGTGTGTACAATAAAGAGAGGGGCTGCAGGGGTGGTGATGACTCACCGATCTTAACGCAGCCTTTGTCCGTCATCAGCAGATTAGACACCTTCAGGTCCCTGATAACAAGATTGAAGTAGATAATGAGACAGCTGCCTGAGGACACAATACGTTCAATATGTACCCCCTCCCTGTGTCATGTATTTGTCGATTTCAAAATGTTGTATTGTGTAACATTTAGGAGGATCTGTTGGCAGAAATGGAATATAATATTCATAGGTATGTTTTCATTAGTGTATAATCACCTGAATAAAGGTGTTTTAATTACTTTAATATGAGTTTTTATCTACAGAGGGAGCGGATCCTCACAGAGGCCGTCATGTTGAACCACAATATTTCTACAGCAGCCCAGAAGGAACAAACCAAACACTGGCTCTACATACAATCTTTTGTGCTTTCCACAGCCAATGTAATTTCTTCTACACTCTTGGAAGGCAGGTATTCAGTTTGTTGCAATCTGCAACTTCACCACTAGATGCCACTAAATCCTACACACTGGTCTGTTTCTGTTCCTTAAGTCATCTGCATCAGCACATCTTTTGTGTTAAATTTCCATCAGCCTTTTTTCCATCTGAGTAAGAACAGACCTTCATCTCTCTCTGAACTCAAATCATGTCCTTAGTTCCACTTCTAACCTTTGCATCTCAGCAAAAACCAGATCAGTGCTCGAAGTTAATCCACCTGCCTGGCTGGCTTAATGACGTCAAAACATCGAAAGGGAACCGAGGCCAGCCGGCCACATGACCTGAGACATGTACTGATCTAAACTAACTACTAGCTAATGTTGAACAATGTCCTTGCTATGCCAGGACCTGCACAAAAACTGGGATGCCAGAAAAGAAAGAAGACTAAGAAAGAGGGAGCTGCCAAGGGCTTTAGACCCAAATAACAATGTGATGACCTTTTCAGCTCAGAAAGCTGCTGCCAGCCAGGATGAAGGTGAACAATAGCCAGGAGGCTAACATTACAGCTAACGTTGTTAGCTATGTTATGTAGCTATGTTTTCTATATTTTTCTATACACCTTTCTATAAAATGTGTATTTGTTTCCAAAAGAGTCTGAAATTAATTATTTTGTATTAAGCCATTATAAACAGAAATATGCTAGTACAACTTACAAATTAACAATAGAAGTCTGAGAACGGGTTTTTTGGGGGTTTTTTTGCCTTTAATTAATAGTGACAGCTGAAGAGTGACAGGAAAGGGGTAGAGAGAGAGGGGATGACACGCAGCGAAGGGCCGCAGATCGGATTCAAACCCACGGCTGCTGCAGTAAGGACTCAGCCCTGGTAAATGGGGCACCAGCTCTACCAGGTGAGCCCCTAAGAACAGGTTTTGCATAAATAATGACTAAAATATATAACACTTATCGAGACAGACATTTAGTCTACTACTACTACTACGAGTTCATTAGATGTGTCAACAAGACCATCAACATAAATAAAGAAAGATGATAAGATAGCTTTCCAGAAGTGAAGCCAAAACATCTCAACCCCCCCCCCAGATGTCCATCTTTTATATGTTGATGGTTAGCTGACCAGATATTATAGTAAGTCAACTAACAAGCTATATAAACACAATAGATAAAAATAAGTGTCACTGCTTTTTTCCAGTAATTGTCTGGGACTGACCTGTGTATAATGAAGTTGTGGTGGAGATACTCCAAGCCTCTGAGCAACTGAAGGACAATACACTTGACCTGAAAAGGGAGAGAAGAAAAGAAAGTATTACAATGCAGACAACACAAACTGAACCAGCAGTTAAGGAGTCATGCAGACCAAATGGTGATGTCTTGTCAAGAGGAGGAATTTACAACCAGGAGTCACTGAGTGGATTGGAAGGGGCCCTCATAGTTTTTTGTAAATGTAAATGCTGTTCTGCATAACATATCTTTATTTTTTCCCTTGTTTAACCTTTTATCAACCTTTGGACACCTTAGATCGACCATTGGACATCATGGGTCCCAAAAACAAGGTTGAAAACAAAGTACAAAACAGTAAATGCTGGTTTTGTGGGTGAATGAGAGTTAAAGGAACTTCACTCTGTCCTACCTGAGCCTCAGAGAATGGTGTCTGCATGTTCTCCAGCAGACTGGCCAAGTCCTGTTCACAGTAACTCATCACCAGAAACAGACTGAAACACATAAGAAACACACAATTACAGTTAAACAGATGATCACGTTTTACAGTAAAACAGGTTGTGGTGACTGAAGTTACAGCAACATGAACGACTATAGACCTTGCAGATAACTCAAATAGTCCAGAATGTGAATAGTTACATTGCTGTTGAACATGAAATACACCAAGCGAGGACACAACTAGGAAAGTATCATAGTTGTTCAACAGTGAGAAGTCTCTGTTGGTTTATCAAAGATGCTAGCAAAGCAATCCATCACGTCACCTATTGGTTTGTGAAGTACCATTTTGAAGCCTTGAGTTCAGCATTCTGGCTGTCACCATGTCGTTTTTTGGAGCCAGCAGTGGTGACTGAGGCAACGTGCTCGTAGCAGGAAACAATGGTGGCTTGCATGGTCACACATGTTTTCATACCCTGCTTTATTGTCTATTTTACTCTAAATGGGACCATCATTTACTAAATGATCATCATGCTGTATGGAAGAAGACTGAAACTAGAGATTGAGACCATAAACTCATTAGGAAACTGTTTACTGAGATAATAAATCAAGTGAGAAGTTGTTTCATTTCTCCATAAGACTCAATACTATCAGTGTGTTATTGCAGCCCATGGAGCTGCCCCCTGCTGGCCATTAGAAAGAATGCAGATTTAAGACACTTGGGCATTTGCTTCACTTTACACACTAACATCATGATGGTGTGTGTGTGTGTGTGTGTGTGTGTGTGTGCTACCTCTCCAGTTGGCTGCCAACAACCACTTCTTTCAGCTCCACTATGTTGGGATGTCTCAGTCTCAGCAGCAGGGTGATCTCTCTGAGGCTACTGATGGGGATCCCTGACAGAGAAAGAGCAGGGTCAACAACTCTTACAGCTCATTTTAAAAACCAAACTACAGAAACAATAAGAAAACTTGGAATGAAAGTGCTCAGGGATTTTTGAACACCATGGGACAATTCCTGTAAACAAACTTGGGATTCAATTTATGAATTCATTAACACTAAAGGTGGACAGAAGGATCGCAGGATGATAAGGTTAGGTGCTACGTCTATCACTGTTCCAGAGCAAGAACTACTAGCTCAACTCCTCTAGCGCCACCATCAGGCCAAAATGTCCACATGTATCTATATGGAGATATCAAAATCTTAATGGACATATTGTACATACACAAACACCAGATTTAAAGCACTCTAAAAACACACACACATATGACTCAGCCTTAGAGCTCTTACCATCTTTCTCTTTGTCCATCCGGACCTTCTTCAATGCGACAATCTCATCTGACTTGGTGTCCCGGGCTCGGTCTATATTAGGAACAAGAGACAGTTATCTAGTTAGCACTTAAAATGGTCTGCTATTTTGGTTTCTTGGTCGAACCTTTCTATAGTCTTAATGACTTACACACAATGCCATAAGTTCCTTCTCCTATGCGGTTGAGTTTCTCAAACTCTCTGACACTTCTGCAGCTCCCAAACTGAAAGAGAGAGTGAAAAGATCAAGAGAAGGCACACAGACCCTCTTCACGTCAGTGGACTGTATGCGTCATGCTCGTCTGCAGCAGTAGTTAAGACTTGTAGTCAGCACATTTTGATCACAAAATTACCTAAAGGAATCCCTGAGACGACATCTTATTATATACAGGTCTGCCTGATTTGTATCAACTCGGGGGTCCTTGACACCAAAAAGGTTGAGAACCACTGCTCTAAAGGATAACGCTTAAAGAATAAATGTGCTTAATGGACAGACACTAGGAAGATGCACTTTTTCTCTGGATAGCTCAATGTGACATATGACTGTTTTGTGTATTCAAATCAACTTAGGTGAATATTTAGTGAAGTTGAAATGAAGTGATGACCAACAAGACATCAATAGAGGGATGTAATTGTGATTATCAAAGGAAACAGTGGCCTTGATCCACTAAGAAGAATTGGCTCTGTGGGGAATTTGCCATTACTTAACTGGAAAACAAAACAACTTGCCAATGCACAGGCTATTGCAAAGATGTTTACAAAGTCCTAAAAGAGGCATCGTGAAGGCAAGGATGTACAGAGGAATCTGATGACGTGGATAGTCTGGTGCTTACGTGTTGGTGGAAGCCAGTAATGAGATTGGCTGATGCTGGAGACAATGAATGAAGTAGTTAAGTGTACAGACTTCACCTTGAAAGTTAAGTAAGCTACAAAGCAAAAGTGTCTTGCTAATGAATTACTTTTCCACAGTGTGAACTCATTAGCTCAGTTAGGATATCTAACACAGAAAGAGTAATGCCAAACTCCATTTAAAAATCAGCCATTTTATTGACTACCTTGCTTATTAGTGAACACTGACTGCCTCTTTATCAGACAGGGTCGGCCAATCGTCAATAGCTTTTAAGAATCTCAATCCTGGTTCAATTTGCAACTTCTACAACATTTTAAGGGATGCTCTAATACAGTAGCCCGTTCACAGTGCTCTTGCTATGCATCATAAAGTGTTGTATGACGGTTGTGATTGAGAGAAAGACAGCTTCACAGTGACATCTATTTTTCCTATAATACTGTAGGTTGCCTTTTTCAAATATGTGCCGAATTCCTGACTAACCCATCTAGATATGTGATCAGTGTTAACTTTTGTTCAATGAGTGATGTACCATCGGGGATAGCAGGCTATCGTTAAACTACCGGAGTCCTGAACAGGGTATGGTCACTCCACACGGAGCTTCTCTTACCCTATCATTTTGAGGCACTGTGAAGGTTTTATTGTTCTTGATGGACTTGAGCTTTATAGGGTCCGGTTCGTCCTCTCCTACGGTGTCCATTATTTGCTATATGATTGTTTTCAGCCTCAGAAGACAAGAGTAATGACCGCTGTGGCTTTAACTCGACGGGCAGCAGTTCGCTCCGGTGGGCGCCGCCATTCTGTTTAGTTTCGGGCCAACCAAGTGCTTTCCCGGAGTGACACAGGCAGTGACACCGTTTGTAAACACGTAGCTTCTGCGGTTCTGCAGCAGGGTGGTATTATTGTTAAGTTCATTTAGAGTCATTCTTGGAAGACTGGAATTAAAAAAAATAAATTAAATAAAATATATGTCCGTTTTTAAGCAGTTCTGCCTTCCCATTTGATTACAAGGCATGATCCAGTCACACTAGTCCACAGGTGTTACCAACGATATGATTTAAGGTTGAATTCCATTTAGTGTAGCAGAACCTTTCCAGTGAGCCAGCATGCTCAACAGCAGCACCCTGACTCTGTTTGACGACCTGAATGGAACAGAACCTTAATTAGTGTCATTGCTAACAACTGTGTTACCTTCTAGTTCATGTCAAAATGGCTGCTGTGAAAAAGGTCCGTTTTTGGGAGAGAATGGATGTAGTAGCTAGCAGTAGTAGTAACACTTAAAGGGCTACTCCAGCAATGAATTATTGCACTTCTATAATGTTGGGTGACTCATATGGCATCTTTGAAAGAATGGCCACACAAGTTCCTAATATGGGTCAAGATTCTTCCTAATCCTTTACCCAACCAGTAAGAAGATATTTTCATTAGGGCCTGCCTGCTAAATGCCCATATCTTTCCACCCTTCATCTCCTAACATTGATTACTTCATCATTATTTTCTCTGACAGGACAAATCATACTCCTGAGCATGGATGTATTATTTATTACCACTCAGCCTTGTTTACAATTTTGCCCAATGACCAAAACGGCCCCGATGGCCCACTGCAGCAAAAACATTCCCTGTGGCCCAAAAGGCATTTTCCCCTTACATCCCCATTAGCCAATAAAAGACACGTCTGTGAAACTGTTGAAACAAGGCCGATTATGTCTGGCATATGCAGCAGACGAACAACAGTGCACTTCCCTCCGCCTCAACACTAGCCCTCAGGATAATCCCCGCTGACGTCATAAGTCTTGTTCCATTTATCTGAACACTTAAGTGAACTAGATGAGATCAGCCCCAACAATGGAGCTCACTCTATAGGTGTGTAAACTATAACTTTTATTTATTTACCAGGGACAATGCACATAATCAGCATTTCAGGTTACTCATCTAAATGTGCCAAAGTTATAGAGCTCATTTTCATCCATATGAATATCACGGATCAAATTGCCTTTCAGTTTCAGTTTTTCATTGAAATGAGTCTGTGGGTATTTCTGATGATTGGCCAACAAATGGTGGTTCATCCATGATAGTTTGTTAAATCCCGTGCAGCTCCCCCACCCACTTTCTCTCTGCTCTCCAGGTGGCCTCTGTGTGACGTATGCCAGGGGCTGAGGGTGAATCAATGAAGTGGAACAGCTAACGAAACGCAGCCTTATTCTCATTGGATTGAATAGGCACCATCTTGATGTCTGGTTTATACTTTTTATAATACCTAACCTACAATAACCTATGCTCCAGAGCCACAACTGTCTATATACACTGAGTAGTACCCCCCATGATAAGTAAACTGATCTTCATGTGTAAAGTCAGTAAAGTTCCTCTTTGAGGAACCTATGAAATATAATTGTCAATTATAAATACTGCAACTTTTAGGAATTGAATACTTCCACTATGTTTATAGTTTACAGTATGTGCTGCTCTCTCCTATCTCACTCTCACTCATGTTTGATTCCCACTTTACCTTCTGTGATGGGACATGCTGAGTCACTTTCTGGCCATGAATTTCTTCCCCACTACAACTGGTGTGGAAGAAGGCCTCCGCTCTTTGATGGCATCGGCTATAGTTATCTTGGTCGGCGAGGCGTATATGTCTTCTCGTGATGGAGCAGTGACGAGGATGGTTGGTGGGCCTGAAGAGGAGCTACCTGAATCCGACTCAGGGATGGACTGTAATGGGAGGGAGCTCTCTGCAACCAAGAGGGAGAAAATGACTATCACAGGTGGAAGATACACGCTGACTGACACCAAATATCAGTCAGATATGCAGCAGCTTCATGAACCCAAGAAACTTATGAAAGGTGGTCTTTACCCACACCCCATCTCCACCAGCCTCCAACCTTTAGTTCCTGTCTACTTAGTCCTCACAGATATAAGAGTAAACACTGGACTTTTATTGGCCTGGAATTGACCTGCAGGTCAGGTGAGTCAAACTTGCTGACTAAAGGATTTCCAGCTGTGTGTGCCTGTGTGTGTGTGTGTGTGTGTGTGTGTGTGTTCGGTACAAGGAGCAACAACACCTTTTAAATTGGATTGTGCTAATTTCTTAAGAGTGTTAGGGCTGTGTCTACCGCAGGTCAGTACTACACAGAGAAGAATAATTATCGGTTACAATGATCATTAACAGTTTGGTATATATTCAGCAGCGTTGATAAAAAGACACCAGACCTTTTTACACTGCTGAAGTACATTGTAACTTGGTACATGAGGAGGACACATCCTACATCTATGCTGATGGTAGACAATACATGTCAAATAACTTCTAAAGTAATTAGTCTATGGCTTCAAAAGCTATCTGGATAGTAGGGGAGAGTGGGGTAAGATGAGCCATTTTTCATATTTAGGATCACTACATCAAGGCAATCATAGTTTTGTCGCTAACTAATATATCTGCATGTATTTCAGGATGTTGTGAATCCCTTCAAACAAACAGAATGAGTGTAAACATAACTGTTTCCATAATATAGCATGTCCACAAAAAGTGGTCTCGTGGCTCAATTTACCCCGTGTATGGGGTAAGTTGAGCCGTATCCCTACCCCCCCCCCCACCTTCCTCCCCACCTCCACCCACCCCTCCCTCACCTTCTCCCTCCCTAATAACAACTGTGTATTTTATTTATTTGTAACAGGTACAATAACTTTTTTTATTATTATTATTGCATATAACTGTTAAACAGCTGTTTTGTGAAAAAACATTTTAACATGAGAATGCCTTAAAGTGCGCTTAGGAAGAGAACATTAACAGCTGTGTTTTTGGAATATACACAGAATATGTTTTTGGATACACTTATTGAGTGTATTTTGGCTGTCGCCACCGGCTCAACTTACCCCTGGCCAAATGGCTCAACTTACCCCAGAGCTACCATTCTGACTTTATTAGTCCCCACAGCTAAAATGGTGCACTTTTATGCTAGGTTTATGAGCTCATGTTGTAGCTCATAGATACCACAATTGATGTATAAAACTAATTTAAAATCATCTATTTTGGTCTAAACCCAATTCTCATGAAACTTATGATAGACTCAATTCACTTTCAAGAGTGAAAAAAGATTTTTTGGAAATAAATATTAAATATTAACTATGTGGTTCTTACATTCACAGACTCCATGAAGTGATGTCTTCCTCCTAAATATTTGGTCACATGATCAACGTTTACCATTTCCTAGCAACAAGGGGTGGCTCAACTTACCCTTTGGCTCAACTTACCCCACTCTCCCCTATGTCAGTGTACACTAAAATATTCCTATCTACAGTAGTGGACAGATATACCTCCCCCGTACTTTAGGACAAACACAAACAGAATATTGTGAAAATTCAATCTGTTCCTCAAGAAGCAATCCTTTAATCCAACTTGTAGAAATCACAGAATTACCTATTAACTCATCATTTCTATCCACACAGCTCTCTACTGAGGTCATTGGAGGTTCTGTGTATTTCACCCCTACCTGAATCTTGCCTCTGGCTTGCTCCAGACCCCATTAGGCTTTAGTCAGCTGCTGTACAGTCCACATACATGGTGCTCACATTTTGGTCGGCCTTTGCTACGGCACATTAACAGTCTGTATTTATGGGCCTGTGCTATGCCTGAGACTACTGCCAATCTTCCTCTCCCCCGTCTCTGCCACTCCCTCCCTGTTACCGTCACTCGCTCTGTCTGGGTGACAGACACTAATCCTGTGCAGTGTCTCACAGGAGTAGATAGAGATACTGGGTTTAAAGCTGCAGTAACTTTTTTTTAAACATATATTTTGGGGCTGAAGATAGACAGGAAAGGGGCTGCTGCAGCTAGGTACATGGCAGCAGTAGGTAACTTTTATAAAGAAATTTTTTTGTGATATCTGCTGAAACGTTCACTATATCCTGACAGAAGTAAATGAGACAGATAATCTGTGAAACAAGCAGGTTCCTCTGTGTTAGATCGATTATTCAAATCTCATGTCTATAAATTCAATGTTTATTTTTGTAACATTCAGCAATTTGAAACAAAAACTCTTAACGTAAGGACCCTGACTGCCAACAGCATCAAAGCCAACACTGTGTTTCACCAAACCTTAAAAGACCATCTCAGCTACAGCAAAGATCCTATATAAAAAAGATCAATTTGTAGTAATACACAAAATAATAAGAGCCACTGCTGAGAAGCATGAGTAGGTGAAACAATGATGGGAGGGGACAAGTTCAGTAATGTCGCATTACTTCATAGGGTAATTAAAGCTGCAGTAGGTACATTTATTTAATAAAAAATGTTTTTTTGTTATATTTGCCGAAACTTGCTCTATATCCTCACAATAGTACAAGACAGAATAAATAATCTGTGAAAACATCAGGTTCCTCTGGCTCCTCCTAGTGCTCCTCATGGCAAATGTTTAGTTTTACTTCCAGGGACCCAAAGTGTCTGTATTTAACAACCAGGGAATGAGAATGAACTATCTTTCTTGGCTCTGATTGGCTGTTTTCATTCAGGCCTGGTGGATTTGTGCAAATACCATTAGGAGCACTAGGAGGAGCCAGAGGAACCAAATGTTTTCAGAGATTATCTGTCTTATACTACTGTCAGGACATAGTGAAAGTTTCAGTTTAAATAAAAATAATACGTTTAACGACTGCAGCTTTAAATCATGTTTACAAATGCCCTAATTATAGTATAATAATAATAATAGTGTATTACAGAGCTCATAATACTTCACTACAATAAAAATTAGAAGTAGTTTCTGCAATACATTGCATTAAATAACTCGCTCCTTTTCACTAACACTTTGCTATAGAGTCAAATGTCCACATAAACATGGGAAACTCATGAACAATAATGTATTTATTCCATCCTGCACTATGGTGTGTTTATGAGGGTCCGTTCACCCAGCGACGCAGATACTCTAAATCTTCCTCAAACTCGTCTTCCTCAGTCTTGGCTTTGGGGGAGAAAAGACAAAAACAACTGTGAGCTATCTGCATGAATCAGTTGATACATCAGCAAGTCCTCTGCTTTACCAACCACGCTAACCAGATGCTATCAGATGGTTCTTACCAGGACGGGGAGGTGATGTGGTTGGCGACACTTTGGTACAAGGGACTCTCTCCTCCATTCTGTCCTTCTCAAAGAGACTCTCATCCAGATTCTTCTCCAGCCTGTCCAGCTCTGCCAGCAGCTCATCCTGAAGGAAACACACACACAGAAACTGGCTCATATCAAAATAGAAAACTGCAGTGTGCTGGAATGAGCTTTAAATATGAAACCTGGCAAATGATGTGCAAAGGCCTCCCAAAACACATGAACCCAATTGGCCAGATGGTGGCCCAAAATGCAATTTTGCAAAGGCCACAGCTCTCACACTGATTCCAACTGACTTGAAATTGGACACATATGTCCAGCTCAATGTGCTGTACAAAAATGCTCTTGGACCATTGAGTCTGTCTGACTAGACTTTCCGCCATTTAGAATTTTTTGTAAAGCACATTTTTGACATCTCCTCCTAAACCATTGGTCTGACTTAGTATCTCAAAATAATGACTTTGTGATACTAAGTCAATATTTTGAGATGCTAGGTGAAAATACTGTATTATAATGACAAGAGTTGTATAAAACGTGTTTATGTCCTATTTAGTTTTCAAGATACTGAGCAAAGAGCTTTCAGAGGGGCGTGGCTCAGTACACAAATACAGACTATAAATCATTGTTTGTCCAGTCATTACAGAACTCAAATGATATGTTTCAAAACAATATTGAACGAAGTGTGTAAAACTATTTTGTAATTTGTTGAAACAGTCTGTTATGACTTGAACCCTGCATGGCTGCTTGTGGCTTTAATTTTTTTAAGTAAATTTTTTGGGCTTTTATTGCCTTTATTATAGTGACAGTGGAAGACAGACAGGAAAGGGGGACAGAGAGAGGGGATGACATGCAGCAAAGGGCCGCAGGTCGGAATTGAAACCTTAGCTGCTGCAGCAAGGACTCTGCCTAGGTACGTGGGTCGCCAGCTCTACCCACTGAGCTATCCGGGCGCCCTGCTTGTGGCTATATTGATAACTTTTTATTTTTTACATCAACATGATATATACGTCATGATATAGCAAATGATGATTGAATCAGAATCACACTATTCTGTGCAAATAAACAATAAGTCAAAAAGATAAGTCACACAGAAATAAAACTCCTGAAATAGTAACTCTCATTGTACCTCATCAAATTCTACTCCAAAGCTCACAGATGTGTAGAAGGTGTCCGACATGTCTCGAGTCTCATCCTGCTCCTCTGTAATGTCCTTGATCAGCTCGTTCACCTTGTTGACGATATCTCTGAAACGTCCAGCAGAGAGTTCCTGTCTCAATTGACTTTCACTTTAACTACATGTATGTACACAAAAAGAGGATGTTACAACATTGCAGTGAGCTGGAGCCAGAACTCATGGTATCACATGGAAATAGAAAACATCCACATATATTCTGTGAGTTCTTCAACTCCATTTCTTTCAGGTATTCATGTCAATAATTCAAAATGACCACGTGTGCTGATATTTTTCCCCTTACATGTGTTCCTGAGCAGACCTCATGGCCTTAACGGCGCAGTCAATGTACTTGAGATGTTTCTCGTACCACTTCTTTCTTCTCAGCGCCTGCAGAGACACTGGAAGAGAACACAGTTAGATACACTATAAGAGTATGAACATACTTAGCTCAACAAAGTGAAAAGAAAGACACAATCATTGGGGTTTTCAAACAAAACAGCAACTTCAGTGATCACACAGATAAGTGTCAAGCCATGTTATCTTGATGGCAGCTGTATTTGTTACTGTATATAAGTAGTGAAAATACAGGAGGCCTGCAGCTTTCTTGACACAGTACAGGAGTACAGTACGATGATACAGTAAGATGATATACATTTGTCAACAGTCCGACATTTTGCCATACTACCTACACTGTGATAAGTATAACATATTATTAGATAATATTTTGACAATTAAATTATAGCCAATACATTATCGTTATCGCTTGATTTCAACGTTCAATTTATTCTTCCATAAAACATGTACTTTCATCCTAATCAACCGAACAACGAAAATGTAGGCAATTAATGCCCATAAAATAAGACCATTGATAAAAACAACATAAAATGTTCCATAATAAATATAACATCGAAATAGCAAAGCAGACTAAAACAGAGTCCCAGTTTACAAAGTTCTCGTTATGGGGTCAGCCTTATGTTCCCACAGCCCATGTTCCCACATTTCTAGGACATTTTCAAAATTAGGTCTTGTGTTCCTACATTGTGTTACGGTTAGGGGTTAGGGGATACCAAATTGGGAGAAAGGGGGATAAAATCTGATACCAATTTAGGAAAAAGGAAATGTGGGAACATAGGCATGCTCCCCTAGTTATACACTGGGGGATATGGCAGCATAGCCTGAGTGTGAGTGGCTTCCACAGCCATTTGTCAGGTAACATTACCGTATTTAATTTGCTGGATTAGGCTAAAGCAGACACTTCTCTCCAGCTCTTTTATCCATTAAAAGTTTCTCAATAGAAAATCTGACCTCACACTAACACAGATTTTTTTAATCTCTTTTTCTTTTCTCACACTTTTAATCTATTATGGTCATGTATTAATGTAATTTTAATTCAAGACCTCTTCGTGTAAACTAGGCTACACTAAATTAAAATGTTAAATGTGTTTCACAGCTGTTACCTAATGGCTGTGAGGCCCATGGACATACAACGTCGCCGCCATATTGGACCGGGCAACATGCCATAACTCAAAAACACGCCTGACTCACGTTCAGGTTGAGGCTGTAGCACAATAATATATGTATAATAATTATATGTATAATAACAATAATTGTTATATGTGTTTGTATTCATTCACTAAAATGAAATAAAATTGGTTAGTTTCTTCTAAAGTTTGCATGCACATATAATAATCAATAGCTGTGTAATGTAACGTTAGATATGTCTATGCTCTGAGCAGTATGCTGATGACTTTGGTTTGTTAACCCTGAAAGGCTCTTAAAGTAACAGAGGTCAGTGAGCTAACGTGCTAGCTTCATAAAGGGCTAGCTTGTTAGCTAACACTCACGTTACCTCACCTGGCTACTTTTACGTTTTAATGTTTCTTAAAGAATACAGTAATTGATACTGTATTCTTCCCTCTGAAATATCTCACCTCCTCTGTTCTTTCTGAGGTTTTTCTTGACACACAGGAGCTCCTGGTCAATCTTTTCCTTCAGAAATGATTTCTTCTTCATCAGCAACTCCTCTCTGTCTGGAGGTTTCTCAATCTCCTCTTGTTGGCCGGGCTTCTTTCTCACCTTTTCTCCTCCACTGAACATCTTAACCAATAAGGACATGTCCGTGATTCTGGCTGAAAGACTAAATGAACCCTTAATGGGCAGTGTTCAGGAGGAGGTGGTTTGTAGCTAACGTTATCCCTCCAGCAGCCTGTAACCCAGAGACCACTTTCAAAACAAAATACACACTTTGTGCAACACCGAGCAGACAATTGTTTCTGGATTATTATTTTTCCAACTAGACTGCAATAATCTAGTAAAAAATATGTCAATTTATTGTTCTGTTTTTTTGCCTCAGTTCAAGGAAAGCTGCATGTCTGCAGTGTGAAACCCAGTAAGTTAGTTCAACTTGAACTGTTGGAGGACACAGATTGCTTCAGCTGGTTGTTTTTAAGCAGGAAAGATATTTGATTTGAGTAGAAGTAACTCAAGAATTTACTGTTAATGTAACTTAATAATTAAGATAATTGTACCAATTCTATTCAGTTAATTGAAGTTACACTCATATGCAGCATTTTGCCAAACTTATTTAAAATGTGTGAACAGAATTTATCTGAATAAAGTAACATCGATTTGATGACCTGGGAACAAGAACGGACTCTGAATTACAATTACAACTGACTGAAGAAACAAAACCATTGAGAGTAGCTGTCAGCTCAGATTCAAAACCATTATGATCTAATTCCTCACAGTGATCAAATTATATTTTGATTTTTGTTATATTTTATTTTTTTGTTTAAAGAAATTCCTGAGATGAATCTATTCTTTATCATCTATTAAGTCTTCCGTCTTCAGAGGAGAACAATCAGATAGTTTTGTGTTCTTTTTATTCTCCCATCCACATTCCTTATCTATTGGTGGCGGTAATGCACCGTTTCGTTGTTTATCCCCCCCAGAAAAAAAAAAAAAAAAGAAACACCACGAAGAAGAAGTGGGGCGGGGAACGAAGAAGAATTTGGATCACGTGACTGCTGTTGGACCAGGAAGTGCGGTATCAGATACACGGTTAGATCAAAACAAATCAAGACTATCCTGTCGGGTAGCGGAATATTATTTGTCCTGTGATCACCTGGAAGCATATTCGTCTTGACATGGATGGTATGTCGTGTTTCCACAGCTGAACGGTCCGTCTTGATGGACGTTGCCTCTGATTTTAACTAAACCACCAATCTAATGACAGGGAGCTAACGTTAGCTTGTTAGCTTGGGTGGGTGGATAGCTAGCTAGCTCGGTTAGCTGTCAGACCTGTTATGAGTTACAGTTCGTTCCTTTACACATGAAAAGTGTAGCCAGACAAACAGATAAAGTGTTTGTCCTTCGCTTTGAGTTAACATCTTGTCTGGACGCTCGTCTTTTCTTAGCTAATGACTGTTGTATGAGGAATATCACACTCAGCTAACGTTAGTGTAGCTGCGACCAACATGGACGCATTTAACGTTATCAGAAATACTTTAATACTTTAATAATATGAAGAATTGTAACTGAAGGATGCAGTAGCAGGGTATGGCATTTGGAATTTTATATATATATATATATATATTTTCCAGGTTGTATTTCTTACTTCTTCATTATGGTTTTAGAGACATTTTAATTGTAGCATATACAGATTAAAACAAAACAACATTTAAATAGCATTGTAAAGTTTTCACCTTACTGGACAACCGTGACAGCCCTTTCAGAAACCTTTTGGATAGCATTGTGCTTTTGTTTGGACAAAGAGACCGGTATCTGTGTCTATGGCAGACATATCGGTGTGGTAGCAGCCTATATGAATAGTGTTTTTGCCATATAACGCAAAAAGAATCCTGTTGTTGTATATTGGAGTCAGTGCAGTCCAGCAGAGTGCGCTGTGTTTGACATTACTGTGGCAACACAGAGGAACTCAGAAGAAGCAGCTCTCAACATAAGTCTACTAGAATTGTTGACTTTGTATATGTTAAATTATTTCTCATGAGGTGTTTTGATTTTTTTTATTCAGTTATTTAAGTGTAGGGAACAACTAGAAAGGCTTAGCTGGTGGACTGGAGTGAGTCAATGAAGTGATGTGAATTACTGCAACAGAGTAATATTCATTATGTTGTTAGGTTTGGGACAGTTGCAGGACACTGAGGGCCCTGTAGAAAAGGTCTATTTTCATTCCAGCTGGAAAAATACACTATATCAGCAGTAATCAGTGATTTTTTTCCCCCTCTAAAATCTGCTTTGGTCTTAAAAATCCCAATCACCTTCAGGCTCTACAGTGCACCTGTCAGAGGCTCCAACAAAATCATTGTGGCCCCTAGGGGACAGTAGTCCCATTCATATTTTCCTCATGTTTGACCAGAAATGCATTACATACAGTATTATATACATGTTTTACATTGCCCAGAGGGAACTGCCTGTGTCAGGGTTAGGCAGAGACATGAAAATGTCTATTATTGAGGTAAAGCTATAACTATTTTTTTCTACTGTTGGAAACAACCATAGCGTATGGAGTTGGGTGGCTTTATACATCTGGGGAAGCCACAAATCAGCTAAGTAGTTTGATGAACTCTTAAGAAGTGAAAGCTGACTGAATTATTAACGACCCCTCTCCCACTGCACAGTGAAGCTTTTATGTTCAGAGAGACATTATAGATTACCAATGGCTAATAGAAATATCTATGAGAAATCCTTTGTCCCAAAAGCCGTCGAGGTAATAAATGAAAGTAGGATCCAATAGACTAGGATACAGAGTAGTTCTCTATCTTTGCTGCAGGTTGTTAATGTTAATGTGATGGTGTGGGAAGTGTAGACTTTAGTACTTTAATGAATGTTATTATGTTTTTATGACTTCTCTCATGGTGAAACTGAACACAAGTTTCCACATTGTGGAACTAATTATTTTCCCAAGAGCTGGGCAATATGGGCAAAAAAAATGTTTTAATCTCCATTTGTTTTCTAAAAAACAAACTACTAAAGACACCATATTTTTGGCACTGTGAAACGTCACCACATCTGTAATGTCTTATCACTGTGGCCCTTCTTCTCACATGGTATACTATGGGATAATGATTCTACACACTGTGCATAGATGGGCAACTGCAGTGGATTGGGACTTGTTTTACAGAGTTCATAACATTCATAGTTTAATTCTCGATTGTACGATTTAGTCGGTTTTTACATTGTTTTAAATCATAAGTTTGGATTTGAAAAGTTATCGCCCAGCTCTATTTACCAGCAATCCTGTTTTAGTATATAAAGTCACTAGACACTGTGTATAACATAGAGTTAGTATATTACTGTGGAACTGACTCCATACTCCTAATTCTGTCTCTCACTGTCTCTCCACAGAAACACTCTTCCAGCTAAAGGTATTTATCTATTAAAAGGTTTAATCCATGTCAGTTTGATATAAATCTGTAAAAGTCGATTATTTATTAATTTTCTGTACATCTTCCTCTTTGGTTAACAGTTCACTTCCAAGCAGCTCGAGAGACTGGCCAAGAAGGCAGAGAAGGAGTCTGAAAAAGAGCAGGCCAAGGTCAAGAAGGTGAGCAAACTGGCCCACGCTTGAGACCAATCCACTGGGGCACTGTGGCAGCTGAATGTTTGAGCTATCGTATACTGTGATCACAATCTCCACAATGTTCTCTTCATCGTTTTCCATCTTCATCTCTACTGTGACCTCTCTAATAAAAGCAAAATGCCCAAAAATAATCTTAGCAATGAAGGCCAATCTTCATTAGGTGCAGTTCTATAAATGAGAAGACAGGTGGATAAAAAAAGAAGAAAAGTGAACAGTTAGCAGGAGGGATTGGTTTTTAAGGTTGTGTTTGAAGTAGTCTGACCACTAGCAGTAGGTCTGGTTGACTAACTGCTCTATGTTTAGCACAAGTGAAAAATTTCGAGCCTCCAGACTGATATCATCTGCATACAGAACATATCCTTGACATCTTTTTTCTTTGTTGTATAACATCATTGTGATCTTTGTAGCTGGCCTGTAAAAGGTCATGATAATGTTTGGCTGTGGCTGTTTGGGGAAGTGCCAGTAACTCTTTATCTTTGTGGCCTTAAACCTGACAAACGAGTGAGTTGAATAGTTAATATAGAATGTGAAAATATTCACAGTGTGTAACATTTAGGAGGATCTGTTGGCAGAAATGGAATATAATATTCATAGGTATGCTTTCATTAGTGTATCATCACCTTACAAAAAACTTTTTATCTACAGAGGGAGCAGGTCCTCTTCTGTGGCCGTCGCCATGTTTCTACAGTAGCCCAGAACGGACAAACCAAACACTGGCTCTAGATAATGTGCAACATTACTGCGAGATGCCACTAAATCCTGCACACTGGTCCTTCAACTAAAAATGTCAAATTGCAGTTAGCTAGCCAATAATTGTTAGCATTAGCCTGCAGATTGAAATGCTTTCGCTGTCGTTATAAGAGTAAACCCCTAAATGTTACACACTGTACCTTTTAACAGTGACATTTATTGATTAAACTTCAACTTTTTTGAATCAGTAGATCATTTATGCCCATCCTATTGTACAAGACTGGCACACATCAGTCAGCAGGGGGCAGTACAGCTTTAGCTTTGAACAAGGAGTGGTTGTTTTGTGAAATGGTTGTGTCACTATTTCATTTATGGTTAGTTGTTTTTAGAGGTAAATATTTCTGACATTTTTGACATTTTGGTCATTATCATCTCTATCCCTCTTTTAAATTCATGTTTAGAGATTGCTGTTGTGGAACAGCGGGGTTACAAAGATGTCTTATTATCTCACCGGCCAGAGATGTTTCCCTGTTGAGTCATGATAGTCTTCAGTTCTCATATCCTGTCTTGCATTTGAAATGCATTTGAAACTCAGCTGCTGCTGCTGTTTGTTTTTATTACTGCTTAACGAATTATAATTGCTATTATTAGTAACTTCATGTGAGCTACACTATGCTATCCACTCAGTGAAACTACAGGGAAAGAAATCCACAAAAATTAACAGTAATAATGTTAGACATGATTTAGAACAAACAAGAATAGATCAAGTTTACAAGCAATATTATTCCATAGGGGATTTAAAAGATTACTGCCTGATCTCGTCAGGCAGCAGCACAATGGATAGGTAAAACCTGATCATTGAGTTATTTAAATAATTAAAGCTGCAGTAGGTAACTTTTATAAAAATAACTTTCACTATATCCTGACAGTTGTACATGAGACAGATAATCTGTTAAAAAAAACAGGTTCCTCCTGGTGCTCCTAATGGCATTTGGATAAATCCAACCAATCAGAGCCAAGAAAGATAGTTGTTTAATGTTGTTTGTAAGTCACATTCCCAGGACATCAAATACTTAGCTGGGAATGAGACTCACAAACAACAATAAACAACTATCTTTCTTGAGAGTACTGCTTTTGCAGATTGTTCTAAAGGGATGACAGGCCGAGCTACCCAACCATCCATAAGCATGTAGTGCAGTGTTTAATTGTGAGTAGAAAAAAAAGCCTATTTCATATGTTTAAGAGTAGGATACTGTACTACTGTCAATGTTTGTCATTATGATTAAGTAAAACTAATCCATACATAACTCCATAATAGAAATCATCATTAGTTGCAGCCTTTGTTGACTTTAAGACATTGCGTAATTTATAGTGTCATTATTGCACATAAGCCTAGATAAGTTTTTTGCTTGTCAGTCTTAACACGTTTAAATATGTGTACACGTACATGGCAGCTTTTGTTAATTGAGATCTACTTGAGGTGAATTGCAGATGCAGATTTTGAGTGTTAACGGTGTCTTTGTCCCGTTACCAGGCTTTGCAGCAGAAAAATGTCGAATGTGCCAGAGTTTATGCAGAGAACGCCATCCGGAAAAAAAATGAGGGTCTTAATTGGCTGCGCATGGCGTCTCGAGTCGACGCGGTGGCCTCTAAAGTCCAGACTGCTGTCACCATGAAGGCGGTAAGCTATTGTGTTAAATCAGCTCACTAATACATGCTGCCTTAGATTATATGCAGTTTTACTATAATGTATCTGCAAAATATAGGATTACAAAGCATTTATTTTCATGTTACCACATCACAGTATTCCCTCTATTTTGATAGGCTTGGGAGGGGAGAACAACATTTTTTTTGTCAGACAAATACATTATAAATGCATTTTTGTCCCATCAGGTGACCAAAAACATGGGCCAGGTGACCAAGTCCCTGGACAAAGCTCTGAACTCCATGGATCTCCAAAAGGTCTCTGCAGTCATGGATAAGTTTGAAACTCAAGTCCAGAACCTTGATGTCCACACCTCAGTGAGTATCTGTGTGTGTGTGTGTGTGTGTGTGTGTGTGTGTGTGTGTGTGTGTGTGTGTGTTTCATGCAGTGTTTTGGTGTTTAGTGTGCTTTAAAACATATGGTTAGATATTCTATAGTCGAACTGATTGGCACTTCACAATGTCTGAATTTAAGTAAAATCCAACCCAGCACTCTCTGGCCTGAGTTTTCTGTTGTCCAACTCCTACCCATCCCTCTCTTTCCTACACCAGGTGATGGAGGACTCCATGAGCTCGGCAATGACGCTGACCACGCCTCAGGAGCAGGTGGACGACCTGATCCACCAAATAGCAGAGGAGAGCGGCCTGGAGGTGATGGACAAGCTCAGCCAGCTGCCTGCAGGAGCTACCTCAGTGGGCGCGGAGAGCTCACGGAGCCATGACAAGGAGGACCAGCTGTCCCGACGGTAAGGACCAGTGTCCGTACTTACAAGACAATATGTTTTGTCCCGTACTATAAATACTGGGTTACAGCTTAGAAGCAACATCCGTGTGTCTGGCTCGTGTTTCCTTAAAGCAAGACACTGAATCCTCCCACTCTTCACCTGTAGAGCTGTTTTCATTCTCTGGCACCGGGTTAACAAGTAGCACATGAACAGTCGGCCCTGCAGTTAGAGTAGAGCATGATCAGTAAATTAGATTGCACAGCGAGCTACTACCCCCACACACAGAGTGCTACTGTTGCGGTTGCAGAGTCAGACGTGAACAAAAAAGAAACATGATGTTCAGCTCAAATGGAGAAGCTCGAAGACAGAAGGAAGATGCTGTGTTGTAATGTGATGTGGGTTATCAGAACGGTCAAAGTAACTGTGGTTTGGTTACATTTACATATGCAGAAAACATTTTTGAAGTCTTAACTTAAAGCTGCCCAGCACAAACACAAGTATATTCTGTAAATGAAGAAAATCATGGTGGATACAACAGTTTCTAGGGCTGCCTGCTCTTAGTAGTAGTTGTAGTAATTGGTCATTAGGGTTTCGGTCAACTAAGACTAGGAGTGTATGAAAATATCGATACACTTGAGTATTGTGATACCACTTTCCACAAAACATGTTGGTTTTATTTCCATTTCCTACATTACTTTATTCTGTTTATGAGGTTCATTATTAGATGCTCAGTTTATATGAATTATTAAGGTTAAAATACCCTCTGCTCCACACTGTCAAACCAAACTCCATTCTAAAAGTGTGTGTTTTATGGTAGGGCCATATTTCTTCACAGTAAAAGCTTTATGTACACCATTATTAATGCTCTTTACTGATCGACTTCAATCTACAGTTACAATCTGCACATATGCCCTTTATTCAGTAGCATCATTAACTAACCTGTGATGAGTACACAGACGGACACAGATGACTGCCAGGATCCCACATTCCCACAAGGTTTAACATTTTTTATCCTCTCTGTGGATGGCCTAAAGCCACAGATTTTTTCAGTGGTTGCAGTTGCTGTTTTTCTTTATATCACTGTGAATTGAATATGTTAAGGTTTTGGACAGTTGGTTGGGCAACAACAACAACAACAAGAGGTCAATATGGGGAAATTGTCATGGGTATTTTCACTATTTTCTTACGTTTTATATATCAAAGAATTTATCAGAAAAATTGTCAGCAGATTAAATGATACAGAAAGTCATTACTTTCAGTTCTATTTCTGACTCCCAGCCAGAGAAGAGCTGCTTAAATGTTGATTTCAGTGAAGTGGTATGTTGTCTGCTGTGCTATTGTGGTTGTCTTTCTATCTGATCAAATTATTTCCATAAAACCTAATTGGGACACAACACAGGGACCGGCTTTAACATGCCAATCTGTCAGTTTCTCATTGAGCAGGTGTTGTTGTTGTTATCTCATTATAGACAGCTTTCTGGCAGGAAAACATGTCACTAGGTTGAAAGAGTCCATTCTTGCTTCATGTTGACGCAGGCCAACAGCTTTTATATATTTATTAATGAAAGAAATGATCTTGTTTGTGACTAATACAGTGAATTAAGTACCTCACAAATCAAGGTACTTCATCACCTTGTTGCAACAATAATATAAAAATCCAATATTGCCATGAATCAGGACTGCTAACCTTGCCCACAATTAGGGCTTCAACTAATGATCAGTTTACTGTCATAGATGACAATATCCAAAAGCCAATCAAAAAATATATATATTTTTTTTTTTTTTCAAAGGAAAGGGCGGTGCTAACTTCCGGGTTGGACTACAAAAAAACTTGCCACCTCTGCCGCACTCTATAGTGCTAGTTCATAACACTGACAGCTGGGAAATGAACCTAAGGCTTGTATCTCATTTCACTTCACAAGGGCTCCAAACAATTCAACTTTCCACATTTTCCACACCTTCCAGGTTGGCTGCTCTGCGGAACTGATGCCTCCACCAGGAGAGGCGGCGGGGCTTGCAGCTGCGTGGAAGCAGACGAGCTTAACGACGGCGAAAGGAGCTGTGTGTGTTTCTATTGAACTGTTCCTACCAGGAGGACTTAATGAGCCTATTGATTACCCTGCTCTATAAATACACAAACACACACACACACACACACACAGGATAGAAAATACCACCTGAGAAGGCATGAATCTCTCTCTGGTTCACCTTCCCATTTCTGTCTTCCCCTCTGATTCCCCATTGGATCTCATTTTACTTTCTCACTCACTCCCCCCCCCCTTCTCCTCCTTCTCCTCCTTATCCTCCTGTGGCTATACTCAGTTCTCAGATCACACGCTTTTGGATGTATGCTTTGTACAAAAACCCATTTTACAAACTGTATAATGTACAATGATGAAAAAAGTTTTAATAAGCGGTCATAGTGATTATAAGGGAGTCCATGGCTCTCATAAGGTGCAGGGTGGGTTAAAAATGTATCTACATGTTGTTTGTAATTTTTTTGGGGCTTTATTCTGTTGGTGGAAGGAGACAAAGAAATATCAGTTGTTGCACTTGTGTTTGACAGAAGTTAACAATCTCCTTCCCTCATCAGATTCATCCAAGTAACACCTGTTCATGACATTGTTATAACACTATACAACGAAGGACAATCCTCAAACCTCTTGTTTCTCAGTGTCAAAACATCTTTTTATGTTCTATTTTTATTTTTCTTAAGATTTATTGTTGATTATTCAGAATATTTGCTTTGATGCCTTATTTGGGATGCAGGTGCTTGCATAGGTGCTCCCCCCTACACCCCCCTGCCCCGCCAGTGCCTGGAGGACAGTAGTTTAGAAAGCAAACCGCAGCAAAACCTGACAGACATAGGTCGGAACGAGGAATTTTCCGTTCCTCTTCCCGCCAGGCGAGCCTGAGATATTTTTTTCCCCCGGTCTTAGCCAGCTTCACTTCAACACCGACTGTGATGAGCATGAGCTCCGGTTGCCTGATCTCTTCTTGGTGTCTGTGGTGTTTGATTAAAGCTCACCCCCAGCAATGCTGAAACCTCACTCAGATATTTTTGGATCTTCTCTGTCTCAAAATAAAGTCCCCACCTGCCTCGGTCCCATCCCAAACAGTTTTCGGGAGAAGATGTCAGTTATGAGCGGGGATGTAAATGCTGGATTTTATTTATTTTTCTTCTTAGACATGAGTCACTTGCTACTCCTAATTTGCCTTGTAACACCTATTTTCTTGAAAAGTTAATGTTTCAGGTAAATGCAGGAGATTTGCTAGCATCAAGAGCAGGTGATGTTTAAAGAAAGGACAATAAAATGTACAATGGCTAGACAAGAGTTACTCTCTTGCTTTTTAGCTCTGTTCTCTGTTAAGTGCTTTGACCAGTTTCAACATCAGTGAGAGAGCGGGCAGGCTGAAGCCACACCTCCACCTATGACAAAGCAGCTTCACTCTGACAGTGTTTTCAGTTTGTTGTCCATGTTAACACAGGGGGGTTATTTATACAGCATTTGCAGCACTTTTGTTTTGTATATTAATCTTGTGAAAATAAAATCTTGCCCTCCTACGCATTTGTCTTCAGTGGTTTGTGTACTGAGTGCCAACAGTGTAGTGTATACAGCAGTATGAGGTGTCAGATCACATTTCAAGCAACAGCAGATGGCACTAAAGTCATGAAGACAAAGGTGTCAGCACTGATTCCAGTGTGGACAGGTCGCGGTCCTGAAGTGACCCACATGGCCAACATAGATCTAGAGTGACGTAAAAGTCACATGAATTCTGATATGACTGTTCACACCGAGGTCACATTGCAAAAAATCTGACCTCATATTTGGGTCACTTACAGTTTGAACGTAGCCAAAATATCTTTTTTTTGGCCTTATATCATCTACTTCCATGCTATTATACCTCCTGCTGTGGGTCAGAATCCTTGATAAAAGCTCAATTTTGATTTTTATTTCTATAATATTCATAGGTATTTTGTGTATATTCATCTGAAATTAATAATTTTTGTGTTTTTGTTACCTTAGAATGAGCCATTTTTATCTACAGTTATCTAAAGTTTGAAGGCAGCTTGTTCCAGTGACAATAAAATCACACTATTTCTTCAACACAATAAACGAGGAAGTGAGTTTGGTGACATATGACTTACCATTTGAAACAGAAAACTGTTCAATTCAATTCGTATAGCGCCAATTCATAACAGACGTTATCTCAGGACACTTTTCAAATAGAGCAGGTCTAGACCGAACTCTTTAAAACATTAATTACAGAGACCCAACAGTACCACCATGAGCAAGACCTTGGCAACAAGGGCAAGGAAAAACTGCCTGTTAAAAGGCAGAAACCTAGGACAGATCCTTCTGCTCTAGGTGGGTGGTCGTCTGTCTCGACCAAACTACAATGATTGGTCAAATTTGGGGAAATGTTGCGGTGATTGGACCACATTGCAAGGTTAATATGAGTTAATCGCAGCGATTGAAACTTCTCGGAAGGACTGCAATCTGCTATTTTTGCCATGCATTTCTCTTTTTCTGCATCTTCATCATCATGGATTATGCATAAACTGAAGCTACTACTGATGTATGATTTGTGCATGAGGGTGACTCATCCCTAATTTCAAAAAGATACTGCTGTTCTTGCCATTGCCACTGAAGCGTAACAGCCCAATATCATTAACTTCGGATCAGAAAATAGATTTGCCTGTGAAAGTAGAAAAAGCCATAGTATAGTTTGCATACCTGCTTGTGGCGCAAAAAGAAAAGTCACCAAAGTTAGCACTGAAGAAGCATTCATCCCCGGGGGACCACGAATGTCTGTACAAAATTACACAGCAATCCATCCAGTAGTTGTTGAGATATTTCAGTCTGTACATTGCCATTGCTAAAAATATTGATTACTGCAGTTTCAAATAGAATTAGTTGTAATGTGTGTATCATTACAGTACTGTAGACTCCTCTTCAGATTGCCCCTTATTCCCAGAAGCAACCAAACACCTGATGGTGGTGTCCAAGGGCTCCTGCCCTGGTCTCAGTGCCTAGTTTGGAATGTGTTCAGGCAGCAAGAAGTATCATTCTGTGGCCCAAAATGGCAGTTCGAGCTAAAACTACTGACTTCAATGGCCCGAATGCCTGCAAGATGACATCAGTAAAGCTTTCTCTGGACAATAAATTGGCTCTGTCCTGTTGGGTTTGCATGATAACTTTCTCTGCTACAGTTTAGTTTGGCAGCCTGACCTCTTCTGAAAGGAATGTACTGGAGAAAACAGTTAAGAATGCATCCAAAACTATTGGTCACACTCTCCCATCTCTTTTTTTGATTTATACGGTTGGGCTTGGCTCAAAAAAGGCTCTGATAAAGGTTAGAGATTAATTTCATCCAGCTTCTACCCTAGAAATTCTTCTTCTGGAAGGACATTTGAACTTTGTTTACATACCCAAGGCTATTTGTCTCATAAAGCTGTTGTATTTTCTTTTTCACATTAAAGTCCTCTCCAGTCAGAAATCAGTGTTTCTTCTTGTTCCTACAGTCTGCTGTTTGAATGCTGTCTGTGCATTAGACACACTAGAAGGATGTTTTCACATTCATCTGTTAAAGCCTGATGTAGAAACTTGAATCCATTAGTGCACATACACTGACAATGGAAATAGGAGACATTTTGTGTCCAGAGCTTTATTTCTCTGCCCAAACCCAAATGGACCTGACACAACCCACCAGGTTCAGGGTCAGGTCTACGGTGGCCTATCTACAGCCAGTGTTTGGTTTGTCCGTCATGGGCTAATGTAGAAACATGGCGGTTCAGCATGGCAGACTCCATGGAAGAGGAAGTAGATAAAAACAGCTCATTCTAAGGTAACAAAAACACAATGATTCTTATTTTCAGGTGACTAATGAAAATATACCTTTATTGACAATAAACTTGAAATGTCAAGAATAAATCTGCAGTTTTTTCTGTTATTTTCCTCTAGTCTCTCTCATAATTCCACTTATCTCTGTATGTTTATTAGGCGGACTGAGGATAGGGGTGCCCCGGTGGTGTCCCATGTAAAAAGGCTTGCGGCAACATTCCCTGTTCGATTCCTACCCGAGGCCCTTTGTTGCATCTCATCGCCAACTTTCCTCTCACTATCATAATGAAAAATCCCCAAAATAATCTTTTTAAAAAAGAGGGTTAGCGCAATTTTCTTCGCTGAAACCTTTTTATTTTGTCCAAACACTTTGCCTCAGTTTGTACTGCAAATTCATGTCACCTCCACTTGTATCTTTGCATTGGCTTCTTATGTACTCATACCAATTCTAAAATGAGTTTAGTTCACTCCAAAAACACCTTTAGTCAGGTGGGATTTCACTCAGAGACTTTGGTCTCCTGTCCTCACAAAACCCTGGCTACAGCCCTGTTTATGACATACTGTTACCGGACCATCTAGCAGAAGATAACCTTATGTGGAATGGTGATAATTTGGCATTTCCGGACAATGGTTTTGGATTAGTCATCGTGGCTGCTTATGATCTCATTTGCAACACAACACAAGGCAGATCATAACTGCGGTTCATGAATATTCACACAGATACAGTGCGTTCACACACAAAGGCAAATACAGGCTGCTGTGTTCTCTGGGTAAACAGTTGAAGCTGCAGCACCAAAAGCAAACATTCCTGTAATTTCTCACTGAAGCCATTACTGGGGAAAGTGTCAAGATGGGCGGTGGTGGAAATGTAACTCAAGGGCTTTTTTTCATTCCTGTTCACTCTCTCTGTCCCTCTCTCCTGCTCTGTTTGTGAAATAAGTCATGAGGTAAATTATCATACCATGGGTAAATAATTAGACAGCCTGGGGAGGGGAGCGGCACAAATGCCAGGCAGAAAATGTGCGTGCCTGGCAGCCGCATAACAACTGGCTGTCACTCCATGAAATGTCAAAGAAGAGGCCAGAGCGATCACCCCAGCAGGTTGTCTTGGCGTGCACTGAGTGTTTCCACTGTGGACTCCCCCGCCTTTTCTTTTTCTGGAAGCCTTGACTTAGCCATGGTGACAGAAGGAGGACGCACAACTCATGAAAACACAATGGACGGTGAACAAGCTGTCCCAGGACTGACTTTAACACAGTGAGAGGTGGCACTTAGTATCCAGGAAAAGCCCAGGTGGTGTTCTCACTGGAAAATACCGACCCAGTGACCTCAGTGACCCTCCGGGGGGAGAAAAGCGGAGTTTATGAATTGAAAATGGCTTTTAAATATGAGAGTGACTCCCAGCAGGAGCCAGTTACTATACAGAGGGATGCTCACAGGGCTATGCTGACAGATAGGAGTTCCCCTTTAATCCCACATTCCCGAGATAGGTGGCAGTGTCAGGTTTCCTGGTTGTGTCTGCTGTTTGTGTATGACAAATAAGCAATAGTGTACTTGGCAGCAGTTTTGTAACCAGAAACTGCTCCGGGAGTGTGATTGAGCATAATGGATTAGTGTCACAAGATACTACAGGGGATCAAAGGTCAGGAAACTGACAGCGAAAGTGAGTGGACAATAGAGAGCCCATGTTTGCATAAGAAAGACAAAGAGAGGGATGAGGTGGGAGCAAGGGGATCACCAAACTGCTCCGTTATCATTTTAGAATCATTAAGTCTTCCGATTCTGACTCTTATTTTTGTTGGGGAATTAAGTGCGTGCCTGTGTGTGATGGGTAATCCCTGGCTGCCACCACCCCCCCACCTCCCCCAGTGGACAGAAATAACGGTGTTCCCTCTCCCATGTGACCGCCCCTGCTTATTGGCTGAGGGACAGGGCGAGCTGACGCTTTGGGCCGCTCGGATTGGAGCGATGAAGATTTACGTCAAGGTAGTCGCGGTTTCCCAGAGAGAGACAGGAAGTGGTGGGATTTTTCTTTTAAAATAAAGGCATACGTTGTAAGTAGGTAAACCAGTGTACATATGACAAACTATTAGACAGATATATGAATAATATATGTATTAGTATTATGGCTGGGTTGAGGTGAGACATCCTGTTTCCAGCAGAAAAACGTAACCAAATTTGCATATTCATGAAATGTTTAATGAGGTAGAAAGAGTAGATTACATTTTAAGGATTTTAAAGCTGGAGTAGGAAATTTTCATTAAAACATTTTTCTTCATATCTGCTGAAACTTTCACTACATCCTGACAGTAGTACATGAGACAGATAATGTGTGAAACAATCTGGTTCCTCTGGCTCCTCCTAGAGCTCCTAATGCCATTTACAAGAATCCACCAGGCCTGAACGAAAACAACCAATCAGAGCTGAGAACGATAGAAAGACTTGTGGTTGGTGACTTCAAGATAGTTGATTGTTGAGTCATATTCCCAGTGTCAGTATTTGATGATCAGATTATCTGTCTCATGTACTACTGTCAGGATGTATTGACAGTTTCAGCAAATATGACACATATTTTAAAAAAATAATAAAAGTTACCTACTGCAGCTTTAAGAAAATAAAGATTTTATTTTGGAATTTAAAGACCGGAAGTGTGACTTCTACCCCAGCTAGTTTTACAGAAGTAGCTCTGAGCAGCAAGCAGACGGCAGCCGAGCTACGA